GACCAGTAAATACTATGGTGTGCATTACTAGAGCTTTATAGTGTTTCTACTCTTGTATATAAACAGGCAAAACACTAAAAGGCAGTAGTTGTCTTTGATGTCTTATGCACACCTTGACTTCTAGTTCTGACTTGAGATTTTCAGCAAGATTTTGGCGTTTAGAAGTTGCTTCTTCAGTATAGATTTTCTGGTATTTTTTATGGAACAAGATCTTTTCTTCAGTCACAGTCTTCGTCTGTTCTTCCTTACTTTTCTCACATAACTTTCAAAGAAATTTGTTTTCTTATTCAAGTAAGCAATGGGTTAAAAATACCCTGACAGCACAAATATAGGAAAGGAGCCTCAGAAGCAGATTTTTACCCAAAACCGTAAGCATACAGGGTGTAATTTCATAGGAAACCAAACTAAAAGGAGTGTAGGATGTTGTACGTGATATCAGGACTCATGCATGCTTATCAGGTCTATTAAAATAATAATAATAAAAAAAGTCAGCTATTGGAATTATAACATTTTTTATCTGTTCGATTTCACTTGATTTTTTTGTTTTCTAGCTCCAAAACCCCCACTTCCAGAGCCTAAAACTTCTGAGACTGTTGAACAACAAAAAGCAACTTTAGGTAATACATACTTACGCAGCTGTTGGTCAATCTTCTCTGCAGCCCAAGTCACAGCTTGAACTCAATTACTTCATCTCATAGCTTCTTTTGTTTATAATCCATTTCTTTTAGAGAAGAAAAAGTTAGGAAATAATCATTCTGAAGTACGTTTTTCAGAACTTAAAAGAAAAAGTAACTTGAAGTTTTTTGTGACCTTACTAGTTCTATAGTACAGTAACATTCTTGGATAGCAGAATATCTTCCATTTTGTTGGGAGTGATGCTAGTAGAGCAGCAACACATTTTACCCTCAGAAAATCATTAGAAATTCCTTAGCATCATTACTGAAAGACTAAGTAGAAGGCCAGTGTTATGACTGTTAATCCTAGAAATCTCAATGAATGATTGCTGTGGCACTATGTAGATATGTTAATTCTGCTGCTCTTTTATAAATCCTTCATGAATGTTCGTTTGGCTTCAGAAGCACTTCTCAGCCATTTCACATTTCTTACTCTAGTCTGTTCTTTCTGTATCATATGCTTTTCTAGTGTGTGTCTACTACCCTGAGGTATTTGGAAACTTCTTTGAAAGGAGTCTCATTGCAATCCTTTATAAAACTGAATTAAATTACTTACTATAGTACCTGATACCCACCTTAAGCTTTATTTGATGTCAGATTAACAGTCATTAGCTAACTATACTTTCAGCTCACAGAAGTTCAGGGAAAAGAACACTTCCAGATTTCTGTTTGCTTTTTATTTTTTTTCCATTTAGATGAAATTGTTTCTATTTTATTAACAGAATGCAATGAATACAGTTATGGAGCAACTTCCTTTTATAACACTGAATTTGTACTTCTGCTCCCTTCCAGTGATTTCATTACTGTTGAAAATTGAGACTATTTTTGCAGATTTTGTTTATGTTTCGATGACCAAGAGAAAATTTTAAAATTGACCAAGAGAATGAATTATTTTTCCTCTTACCTATCTTACAAAAATGAATTTTATGTTTTAATGAGGAAAACATTTTGATGTGATTATAAGCTGTACTTGCATCTCTTCGATTTACTTACTGACTTTTGCAATGATGAACAAGCAGGTTTTAGGGGAGGATTTTGTGAAGCCTTTTTAGCAAATTAGATTTTGCCATTTGCTTTTGCTCCAGTTGCCATTTATTGCTTCATTTCTGCCTTGGAAAATGTGATTCTTATGTGACACGGTAGAAAGAAGCATCTTATAATCCAGAATATTTTTTTCAGCTCCCAAAGAAGCAAAACTCACACCTTCTGCATCTAAACCTAGACCGCCTGGCAGACCCAGAAAGCCACAAATTAAACCTGGTAACTAGCTTCCATACCAAACATTTGCTGTACCTTATCATTTAAATAGTTTTATATACTTGAGTTTAAATTCATTTTGTGTGAAGTTCAGTACCTTAGATTCAGAAAAAAAAATAAGCAGTGAGGGAAGCTGTGCTCTTTGAGGAGTATTTTTTTTTGTATTCAACAACAAAAAAAATTGAAGCAAAGTCAAGAGTCTTTCAACTTTAGTCTTGTATCTCAAATCACCATGCTGCACGGCCTTGTGGAAACAAATTGTTTTGCTGTTTTTCATTTCAAAATGAAAAGTTTTTTGACTTGGTTTGACACTGAATCTAGAAGATGCACATTCTCTTTTGTTGCTGGTGGATGTAGCGTTTTACCTAGAACTGTAGGATTTCTGTTGATCCAGTGATCATTAGCTCATACATAGGCTTATCTGAAACTGAATTAGGAATGAAATGCTGATCTGGAATTTAATGAAGGCATATGAAACCAAAAGTTACCTGGCCTGACCAGAGGCTGAAGAATAATTGAATAGTTTTGCATGGTTTATAATGAAGTTCAAAAAGTGTGTTGTGAGAATATGTTACATAATCATGGAACATCTTAATTGGTATTATTTATTTTTTTCCAGATTCCAAGTAAATTAGTCCCTGTTATTTTTGCTCATAAAAAGAATTACTCTCTTCAGACGCAATAATTCCTTGTGAAACTTGTTAAATAAATGATACTTATGCGTTGGAGGTTTTTCAAATTAACATGCATACTTATTTTTTCATTGTGGTTACATCTCCTGCAACATTTTTAGTGTAGAAATTCAGTATTGTAATATTATAATCATTAATTTCATCTCTGCCATAGATGTCTATGTATATCTGAACATAGACATCTTTTCTGGAAATGACAGAGAAAAAACTCCTTTGGAAAATATTGAATAAAATTGTTTTACACCTTTGTGCCATCAACATAAACCGGTATATTGATGTTTCTACATCAGTGGTTGATTGCTCTGAGGTACTATATTGCTACAGAGAAGGCAGCATGTTTCTGTATTTGTATATGTGCTTCTTGTCTGTCATTTCTTTGTTAGTGATAAAATTGATCAATCCAGTTAGAATCCTAAGAAACACTACTCTTTATCCACCAGTGTTTATTTTGGAGAAGACTGAGGGTAGATCTCTACTCTCTACAGCTATCTGAAAGGAAATTGCAACAAGGGAAGTACCAGTCCATTTTCTCAGGTGATGAGTTAGAGGAAATTGCATCAGGAGAAGTTTAGATTGGATATCCGAAAGGATGTTTCCATGGAAAGGCCAAGCTTTGGTAGGGGCAGCTCAGGGATGCGGTGAATTCCCCATACCTGGAGGTATTTAAGAGACAAGTGGACATGGCACTAAGGGACATAGATCAGTGATGCAATTTGGGAGGCCAGATTGATGGCTGGACATGATGTTGGAGGTTTTTTTTACAACCTAGATGATTCTATTGTTCTATGACCATAATTAAGCCTGTCACTATCCTGTGAGAAGGTATTTGCTACTTTGTCTTGTTCTGACGAGACAAATGATGATATTCAGAAATGATTATTTGAGGCATAAAATATATAATACATGGAGATTACACGGGTTTTGGTTAGGTGACTTCTGAAATATAGTCACATGAGAGAACTATGCCTTCTCTGACTATGATTTTTTTTTCTAAAAACTTGGTGCATGTCTGTCATATTATTTTCTGTCCTTGTAAGTTTCAGGTTACTTGGCTGCTCACTGCTTACAACCCAGTAACCTGGTAAACAATTTAATAATATTGAGGGTAACATGCCAAAGTCCTATTGCACTGCCTGGGAGTTTTATTTAGATGCTCTGCTTTCAGAAAGGTCAGAGAAAATGAAGAGCATTAAATTTCCTCCAGTCTTATTCCCTTTTCATCCTCCTTCTGAGAAACATCATCTCCCAACTCTACCTTTTCTTTTTACCTAGAAAAATTTACATCAAATGTGAATTGTATATCTATTAATGAATTTTTTAAAACTGCTGTAGAAGAGCATCCAACTCTTTGTTTATCCCTTTTTTCAAGGGATAAACCCTCTGCTTGTTTTATCCATATCCAATAATATCTCATATTAAACCCACTGCTCCAATTTTCTCTGCTTATTCATTTAAATGAATGCAGGTTGTTTTCTAAATTTCATTTATTCATTGATGAATGTGTATCTTTTATGGGATACCACTTACTTTCAGCTAAAATACTGATTTTTACAAACCAGTTTTTTTCCCAGTACCCAAAACCATGTTCCAGTGCTTTTGTAGGGTTTCCTGGTTTCTGTTACATTCTTTCTATTGTTGCCAACAAGTTTGTGCATTATTTCTTAATTGATCTTGTATTATTAAAAAGCTTAATTGTCCATAGTTGAAAAAAAGTTGATTTGAAGGTAGGCATTACTGTGGTGCTGTATCAGCAGTTGCTTTTGCACTTTTCGGTGGAGTGATTTTACATTTTTTGCAGTACATTCCATACTTAACTTGTCACAATGTTTCTGTTGCAGTGGTGGAATCTATTACACTTAGAGTTGAACCACCAAGGTCAACAATAGGTAATGGTACTTCTTTGGCAAGCTGTAGTTTTTGGGGTCTTTTTTTGTCACAGAAAGTGGCACCAAAGTTAATCATCTTATGCTTTAAGATAGATTCATTAAACTTCATTTTTCTTCCAGGTATTTCTTGTTTGGTATCCATGTCTGTTGGTCATATTGCTAACTTCACAACTGAAATTGAAAAGCCTACTTTTTGAGAAAAAGTGGCTTGCAGCTTTGAATGACCTTTGTCTTAATTATGCTCGTCCGTGTCAGTCTCAGTTTTTCATTTAAAAAAAAAAAATCTGGGCTTCTGTAATAACCAAAATTTCTATCTCTTGCTTAGGCTGTTGTAAACACATGGGTATTATTATCAGACTTTCTTTCCTGTTTCCTATAAAGAGAATTCTCTGTTGCAGGTGTGAGCATTCTGTGTTTGTGTGTTCAACTCGATATCAGATGCTGATTACTCAGTAAATTAACCAACTTATTACCCACCTTTTCTCTTCCAGCTCCCAAGGAGATTCCTCGCATTCCTTCTAAACCTAAACCTTCACCCAAACCTCATATTCCACAGGCTAAAGATGGTAAACTGCTTTGTGTGATTATTTCTAACACAGCATATATTAGATTGAAATGTATTTCTGTGCAACTACTTATTTATTTGAACAAATTAAATCATAATCAGATTCTGTTGTGCTGTCTATTCAGTGGTATGTTTGCAATTTTCAGAAATAATAACGATGTTATTTTTAAATTCATGCCATAGAGCTAAAGTGTGTGATAGCACAATATGCAGTAATGCTTTTTAACAGCATCCAGAAAGCAAACAAGTGTTCTCCAAGTCCAGTTTTGTATATAAACAGCACTTGAAATACCTCACAAAGGAGAGAATTTTCTATCCTTAAAAAGCCATTTTCTTAATAAGTTAATGATAGATATTTGGATATCTCACTACAGCCAGTTGGAGAACTAAGCTCACACTGAAGAAGAATTTCCTCTTTCACTGCTTATTTTCTCAGTGACTTCATTTAATATAAAAGTTTTTGTATGAGGCAGTACGTTACTGTAGAAATAATACTAACTGTAAGTGGGGGTATTCTCTTAAATTTTTAGAACAGCTTTTATGTTTTGTTTTTCTTGATACAGTCCTGGAATCTGTAACGTTTAGAACTGATCAACCAAAACCAACAATAGGTAACAGTTCTACCTAAAGTGATCATCACATTTAAAATACATATTGTGGCTTTGCATGGTTAGAACAAATACTCAGTAGATGTCTAGCATCACAGGTACATCTTCATTGTATTTTACTGTCATGATTTTTACTATTAAATTTCATCCTTATGTAATTTGATTTTTTTTGTGTTTGGGATTTTACACTAACAATTCATATTCATCTTGTTTGGTTTTCCTCACACAAGTATGTTCTGTAAAGCGAATGGCAGCACCACAGTTTTACTTTGATTGTGTTTCATTATGCTTAGTTTGTGTCACATACTTCATCTTTTCTGCTAGTCTCCAAGTCAGACATCCATCCTGGCCTTGCTCCTCTTGATTCTATTACAGAGGTTCCCCACCAGCAGAATTTCTTTGTGTACCAGGCATTCATACTTCTTCATTATTTGTATAAGCTTTTTTTGTATTCAGATTCCAAAGGCATGTGTTCAGGGTTTCCTTGTTGGTTTCTTGTTTGTCTATTTGTTTGTTTGTTTGAAATGTTATGCCTTCTGACAGTCTTCTGTCAGGAAGATATTAAAAGTTGTATTTGTTTTATTCCAGTTCCAAAAGAATCACATCGTATTCCTTCCAGACCTAGGGTACCACCAAGCTCAGAGGTGCCACAGACCAAGCCTGGTAAGTACGTTTTTTCTTTATTTTATGCTGGTATGTGTATCTTACAAATTTTACCGTGATCAGTAGAGTTTCAGATCCATATTTATTCCTTGGGTGTGTATGTTGGTGCATTCCTTGAAGGATAAAATCCAGTATCATATATCGTAAGAAGTGGAACCTGTAAGCAACCTTGCAAGTTTAAGTTTTCTATCCTAGCTCTTTCTTACATTTTAAGTCACTGCAACGTTTTTCTTTGCAGAAAATAGCTCTTCTTGGTTTGAATTTGGATTGGTTTGGGGATAGATGAAAAAGAAAGTGTCATTGCAAAGAGGAAGTGAATTTTTTCTGTATTTCTCAAACTGTATAAATGTGTTTTCTTTCCTAAGCACAGTCATTCTTTCATTCTTTTCAGTTACTTTTGCAGAAGCTTTATTTTATCTGTGCACTTAAGAATGTACAAGATTTTTCAAAATGTTGCTCACACAGCTTGATATAAAGTAATATATGACCATGTCCTAATCAAGGGTGGAGGAAGAAAGTTAAATAACTCATGCTAGCAATTGCAGGATGTATTGTAGTGAGTTGACCTTGCCCATTAGCTATGTATCCACCAGTTTGCTCACCACTCTGACCCCCTGCAGGTTTGGGGAGAGAGACAGAAAACAAATAAACAAACAAAAAGAACAGAACAGTGATTCAAGATAAAATGTAAAAAATGAGAGAAAAAAGAGAAAAACAAGAGATGCAAACACACTCAGTCACAAAATACTGCCAGAAGACCAACACCTAGGAAGCCCACAAGCAGTGGCTCCTTTGAAAAAACTACTCACCAATTTTATTGCTGACTGTGATGTTAGATGACATGAAACAGTCCTTTGGTCAATTTGGTTCAACTATCAAAGCTGTGTCCCCTCCCAGCCTGTTGCCTAACCTCAGCCTACTTGTCTGGGGACTGTGTGAAAAACAGGATCTGCTAAAACATTGGTTTGTTATTAAGACTGGCTTGGTCACAAATTTAAAACAGAGCACCTCAGGGACTGCTATGAAGTAAATAAACTCCTTCCCAGCCAGAACTAGTGCAAGCATCCAAGGTATTCACAGCATTAGGTGGTGCTGCTGGGAAAATGGACAGAATGATGAGGACTAAGATTCCTTTTTGCCCTGCTAAGTCTGCACCTATTGTTTGAATTAAAAAATAAAGATAAGCAAGAAAAGTGTGCAAAGTTTAAAATGGACTGCCACCCACAATTTCTTCGTGGCTTATTACAAAATTAACAGATTTATATTCAGAGCTCAAATCTGTGTTAGAGCTATCGCCCTGAAGGCAATTTTTGAGATGCATAATACTGTTGAGTATTGAGTTTCAAGGAGGAGAGGCCGTCTCTCACTAGCCATAGGAGGGATGATATGATCATTGTGGAGGTGCTGCCTGCAATGTTTTGGTTATTCTTAGTAAGAGTTATTTTGTTGGTTTCTAACGCAGCTCTGGAACCAATTACGTTTAGAACTGAAAAACCAAAGTCAACATCAGGTAATGATACATTCTTATTTGCATATTACCTTGTTTTTCTTTTACAACACAGATCATTATAAGTATACCTGCAAATAATTTTAATAAATTAAAAATAGATTGAATAATTTAACAGTCAAGATTCTCTACCACTTTTCATTTTTTCTTCAAGGAATTCAAGAAGGGTCCTCATGCCAATCATGTTTTTAAGCACATAGGATAGGGTAATTTCTTTTGGCATTTAAAAAGGTCTGAGGACAGATCAGAGCAGGATCCTAACTACAGTATAACACAGTTATACTGTAAAGGTGACACTGTTCTAGTTAGACACATGAAATTGAGTGAGCAAAGCTGCCTGCTGTCAGTTTTTTTTCTTTCCTCTCCATCTCCTCCAGATTTTATAAATTCAGTCATTCATGGATCTAATTATTCTAAAAAATAATTCTGTTTCTCTTAATTATCAATTCCACTGTCAAAACAAAAACACTTCAGTGATCTTTGGGATATATGAGGCAGAGCCAATTGGCTAAGGCATTTTTATTTGCTTGAATGTAGTACTGAGAATTATTCTGGTACAATTTCATTACAGCACAGTGGTGTCTTTGTATTTGAAACTTCTTCTATTTAATAGTTTACCTTCTAAATAGAAACAATAATTCTGTCACATGCTTTCTTAATGATATGTCATAGAGAAGTATTTTCTCTGCAGCATGATTTTGTTCCAAAACAAACCCCTCCGCCTCTTTTACACTGCTTCCATACAAGTATCGTTGGTTCAAATCTTTGCTGTATTTGTATTGACTGCTATGGATTGCAGTGAACAGTGATGCCTCTGAAAATGTTAACATGGTGTAACCCAGTTTCTTTCAGTTCCTAGAGAGACACGTTATGGGCCTTCCAAACCCAAAACATCTCCCAGTCCACGTGTTCCTCCAACCAGAGCAAGTAAGCTTCTCAGTATTTTGCATTTTAGCGTATGAAAGTTTTTGCAGTTTGAAAATTGACAAAATATAGGGATTTTTCGAAAATACACAAATCTTTATTGAATAGGGTATGTTTTACTGTTGTAATGAAGTGTTGCTATAAAGCTGTCATAAAGCAAGACGTATATCTGTGTGTATCAGTAATTTGTATGAGGGTTGGGGTATGGGGGTTAAACACTCTCATATAAAGCCCCTGGAAGTTGGAAAACTTGGGCCTCAATTTCCTTAAGATATGAAAGACGTACTTGTATTTTCTCATTTACAGAAACAAAATTACAGTGCTTTCTTGTTCCCCAATCTTCACTTTGGGGTTATCTCTGTCCATTGGAAAGTTAGTGGTAATTTTCCACGTTTCTTCTTTGACTGCTTGATGTTTTTTAATGTAAGATTGATCTAAGCAAGCAACAGATTTTTGGAATATGAAATACTTGAAGTGCAGCTAGGAAAATTGTTAGAACTACAACAGTTTACTCTGTGAAAAGATCTGTTTGAGATAACTGGGATGAGTGGAGGGTTAATCCAAGAGTGCACTGTAACAGTCACTTTGTCTGTAGTCTCAGCACTAACACTTACTTTGTTGGCAAGAGGTTTCTGTGGTTACTAGCAAATGGAAAAAATACTTCCTAAAAAAATTTTTTTTTTGCAGAAAATTAATGTCCTGTAAGGAATATCAGATAGACTTATGATTTGTCTTTGTCTTCATTACTGTGTTCAAAACTTAGCTCATCTTCACAGGTCCAAAAGAAAGTCGACGAGTCACTGCCAAGCCTAGAACATCACCAATTCCAGATTTACCACACACAAAACCTGGTAAATAGATACATGTTTTGTCGTACTTAAATGTTCAGACATTCTTTAGGTTGTCTTTTCTCAGTGTCAAGTGTTGATTAATATCTCTTAATATTGCAAATACATAGATTTTCTAATGAGCATTAAATACATGCTTAAAGATAGAGAGACCTGATTTAAATATTTAATTATTGAGTTTTGATGAGTTGTGTATATATATGCTTTTCAATCACATGACAGTTGTCATTGATGAATAATTTGTATAGAAGGTTAAACAACATACAGCCCTTTTAAGAGTGTACTTGGAAGAAATCTCCCCAGTCTTCTTTTCTGATCAGGTGTCCTCATAATGGAACTAGATCCTTAAAAATATACCTGGTAGGGATTGATATGTCAGTGAACTACCAAATCTCCTCTTTAACATATAATGGTTCTGAAGATATCAGTTGAAACTTCCTTTATAGGGAATATATATTCACTATTATTTTTTCCAACTTAAGAGTAAATTGGTTAAAGGGAGTATTTTTACCCTTTTAATTGTATTTTCTGCTAACTGTGTACATTCTTGTTTTTATGAGGTGCTGGCACATATTACATTTACAGCTGAGCAACCAAAGACAAGTAGGCAACTTTGGGCTGTTTGCTATTATTTTTTTTTCCCCTGCTGTTCGTTGACCAAAGATTACAAATTATTATTCTGTTTTTTACATTATTTGTTTGTAGTTTTGATTTGGTTACATAATACTATTCTGTTCCAGATCTTCAAAGATTCCTAGCTGTGTTGTCTTCACAAAAATACTCTCTCTCTTCCACACATTGCAGTTTCATTCTGTGGCTATCGCAGTTGTCAGCTTTGTAATACAAATGGAAACATCTCAGCTATGGCTGTCTGTGTTCTTTACAGATTTTTTTCCTTGGCTTCAGATGAGACTTTTCTTACTTGATACTTTTCCATGTTTATTTTCATTCATGGTTGTCTTTTTCCCTTTAAGTTTCAGCATGTCTCATCTCTAAATTTTTCAATCATTCATGCAAAGACATTGTTTTCCCTTGCAGGTATTGATTTCTAAAGAGCACACACGCTTAAAACTGGTCTTTTCTTTCAGCTCCTAAAGAAACACAACAAACTTCCTTTAAACCTAAACCAGCTCCCATTCCAGATGCTTCACAACGCAAGCCTGGTAAATTATCTTCTCTTTTATCAAGCTATGGTCAAAAACTGAACACTGGCTTTTGGGAAGGGTGCTGGTGTAGATTTCTCAGTAGTACATTTGCTGCTTTGTAGTATTCTAACTTCAGAAACATCTGCAGTACTGTGGATAACTCGTACAACTGTTGGAAACAACAACAGTTCCCAGGTTTTGTTTTTTTTTTTAAATTGGTATTATGTGGACATTAGCAGAAGAAATAATAATGACCCATATATTGTAAAGAATGATACAAAGTTATTAACAGCTTGCATCTCAGCAACATTTCAGTTATTTGCATTATGTATTTTAAGCTCTTTTGACAGAAGCCTTTTCGTGCTGTTGCAGTGCTTTCCCTTTATATAGAAGCGTTTTTATCCAGATGAGGCTAAGACTTCCCATCTGTTTTACTCCATTTGGGACATTTTTCAACATAAATCTGGCTAACTTATGTAAGATCATCACTGCTTTCACTGGAGGGTTGCAAAACAAAAACAAAAATGGAACTCTTCATAACCAAAAATCTCTGAGAGGATATGTCAGTTACTGTTGTAGAACACACCTTTCCTGCTGTATATAGTGTACTACTGAGAGTTGCTTTTAAAGAGGTAGAGGGAGGAAGAGAAAGTATCTTCATTATTCTGAGCATTTGTCCAAATTTTTTCCAACAGGAATCATTCCATCCTTCCGTGAACCTGATTCTACTATGATTCCTCAAATGCCTCAAAGAATAAAACCAACACTGGGTAATTGTGTATTTCATAAATAATCACTCTGTTTTCCATTTTTGCTGGATAAATGGTTGTGCTATGGTATTGATAGCAGCAGTAACACATGAACTAATTTAAAATTTGCTTTTGAAGGTTCTTTTCCTCATCTTCTAGCCATTCCGATCAGGAGGATATAATTCCCTCAGTTGTTACATATTCTCCTGTAAAAGGGGCTTTATTTAAAGAACAGATAGTGATTCCTGACTTTTCTGCATCTGAGGTATGATGCTGTTATCCTAAAACACTGCTCTGCTTTACTCCTCATTATCTAATTTTACAGAGAAAACTGCAAGAAAATTTTAAGTGTCAACTAGAGCACAACCTGCACCAAATTGTACCAGCTACGTGACTGCGTGATAAGTCAAGCACCAGTTCTTAAAACCATCTTCTCTTTTATCTTCTAGTCATCTCTGTTGGGAAAACTTTCTTAAATATATTTAAGACATATATTTAATATATTAATGCATTGTCCTCATAATTATTTTTTCTTACTTGCCAGATGTGGACTAAATAAGGGTGAATTAATCAAAGCAGGATTGGGCAGTAGGAGTATTGATTCAGTAATTGTTGCTAATAATGAGTTCTGTGTCCCCACTTTCAGAGAAGATGTTGACCAAGATTTTCTGAGAGTGAAGTGGCATCATTATTGAAGTACTAACAGCCATTCAATAATCTTTGAAATTTTCCTCTTTGATGAAAAGGAATTCAAAAATTCTTTTCATCACGTTCAAATTTTAATATATATTCCCCCTATACATTGATACTTAGATTAGTGTTCATTTTATATCTTTACATATTTTTATAAAGTTTATGTGTTTTTTTTATGCACTTCTGGGGACACATGATACAATCTATATGCAGAATATGTGTGAAGAATATAAAGGGTAAGGTAGATTTTTTTTTTCTGAGGACCTCTCACATTGCTGTGGATAATGGACTTTCAAATGTTTGCTCTAAGTGCTAAAATACCTTTTGCATTAAGTGATCATTCAATGACAAGAATTATAAGAATAGAAAAGTTCCTGTTGGAAGGGATCTATACAGATTATTGGTTCCAACTCCCCGTTGCTTCAGGGCTAACAAAAAGTTAGAGCATGTATTATGAAGGGTATTTTATCCAAATGCCTCATGAGCATGAACAGACAGGAGGCATCAATCATCCCCTCTAAGAAGCTTGTTCCAGTGTCTGACTACCTTCTCAGCAAGGACATTTTCCTTAAATCTAATCTGAACTCCTCTCATGCAGCTTTGAGCTGTTCCCTAAGGACAACAGATGCCTCCATCTCCACTTCCCCTCCTTGGGAAGCTGTAGAGAGCAATCAGGTGAAAACAAGGAAGTTAATTTACAAATCAAGTTTGACACAAAGGGCCAATGAAAAATAGGTACTATCCTGAGGTACTCCTGTACATTACACAGGGAAGTACACTATTAATGTGTGTTTTTGTCCTATTTATTTACTGAATGCTGATGTGACTTTATTCTTCACTGATATATCCAAAGTAACAAATACACACTTAATTATTGGGAAGTCTGTTTGTACGAGTGGCTTTCATTTCTTTGCAGAAATTCCAACTGATAGATTTTCAGCTTTAGACTTACACTTCCTTGTATTCTATGATGTTCCTTATGCACTCTGAAAATAGGGGGGGGGGGTTGGTTTGTTTCATGGTGGTTTTTTTTGTTTGTTTTGGTTTTTTTGTTTTAAAAATATTTATTATTTGGGGTGTTTTTGTTTTTTTAATTTCAGCTGCAACTGAAAAACCATTCATTCATACCAAACCAAAAACATCTGAAAAACCAAGAGTGCCATACACCAGACCTGGTAATGAAGTCATTCTTGTAATTTTGTTGTTGTTATTGTTTGTATTTAACCATTCTTTCTCCCTAGCCTGAGTTCTCGTGCTTTTTTTTTTTTTTTTTTTTTTTTTTTTTAATCACAAATATTCATACCTGTTTTTGTGCTTAATCAAATGCATTGCCTTTAGGTCAGTCAAGTCAAAATGTCAAAACTACAAGTCCAAGTTACACTGCAAATGATATTAGTATGTATAGTCTAGCATTGGAAACATTTTTCCTGCTTTCTATTACACTCAGCAAGTGATGACTGAAATGTAGTAATTGGAGTGCTGACAAATTTCAGTGGCTTAAATACAGTTTTCTCTTACGACTAGAGAGGCTCTTTGTAAGCACGTTTTTCCGTCACAAAATTCTATATTACTCCTTTGAAATATGCTTATACATTCAGCAAAGGATGTGTTATACTGAAATGAAGTACTCGCAAAATAGTTAGGGTAGCCCTTGTCTCTTCCTGTTTTGTTAAAAAAACAGTATTACAGGAGAACTTACTGGAAAGATACTGCGAACAGTTGATATTCTGTTACTTTTTAGTTTGGGATGTTTTTCAAGTTTTACAGATAGTGAAATGTAATTTATTTCCATTACAGTTCAACATTTTAATATTTTAATATAAAAAATATATAAATATTTTTAATATTTTAAGCATCTCCACGTTTTCTCCCTTAACAGCAGTACATCAAACAACCCCACAAACAATTATCACAAAAACTTCCACCACCACTGAGCAGTCAAGGGCAACATTGGGTAAATAAATTTCTTTAATCTTAAGATGCAGATATTTACAATTTCTGAATTGAGAAATTTCTAGAGAATGTGCTCTTGTGTGTATTTTATGAAACATCATGCTACTGTCCTTCATTCTGCTTACGCATACACATTTCTGGATACTGATGAGTCTCACTTTTATCCTAGTCAGAAGCCTTTATCAATTGCTCAATTAAATTCCATGGTCCAACTTATTTATTTTTTTAGAGCAAGAATTTTAGCCATTGACTCAACATACCCTACAGCTCAAATCTAGATTTTTTCTGGGTTTTGAATAGCCATCTTGTTTCAGGTTCCAGGAAACCATGAAATTGTTATTGTCTTTTTTTCAGGCGTTTGAGGCATGTATTTTTGGTGGGCGAAATACGGTGTTGAATTGTGACTCCTAAAGAATACAGTAATAATATTTTTCCTTTTTTTCAGCTCCAAAAGAAACAACGCTCCTTCCTTTCAAACCTAAATCATCTGTTGAGACAGAAGTGCCACAGACTAAACCTGGTAATTAAAGTTTTTAACTTTGAAAGTGTTACTGTTGTACTATCTGAGTTACAATTTTTGCCGTGATTCCTTACCGCAGTGATATGACACACACAATATTTAGAGATAAATTAGCATCATTGTTTGGCTCGTAGTACATCAATAGATTACATCAAAAATAATGCCCCAAAAGGGCATAAAATACTTGGGACACACAAGTAAAGATGTATTTTCTAAAGGTTTATTTTTTTAATTGGTGGATAGAAGACATTTAAAATATGAGGAACTTGATTAATTTGAATGAGAGCGTACTACTGTAGCTGGCTTCACTAAGTTTTTTAGGAAGTTTATTACAGAAAATTAATGTGCTTTATTTTTGTAAGTGCTCTTGAAACTCAGGCTACAGAATTTTAGTCAAAGATAGGTAATAGAAGTACTGTCTTCTGATCAGTGCAGTAATTGCAATAAATTTAGAGATCCAAACTTATAATGAAGCATATGTAGTATATTAACATCACCCTTTGTGTGAGCTATTTCCATAAAAATAACTTGGTAGAAGAGTTACAACACAGAAAGAAAATAAGGGAAGGAGTGACAGCATAAATCTTAATTTTTTTTAATCCATAATTCTCAACTGTCTCCAACTAGTAATACCTTTTTTTAGGTAAGTAAGTTGATGAATAGTTTTATCATTTCCCTTTTTTTTTTTTTTCCTGAGAGTTCCTATGTAGCTAGAAACAATTTAAGCACCATTAATTAAAAGAACAATACCTATATTTTGTTGTGAAAATCAAATTGAACAGTCCAGCAAAAAGACTTATTTTCTAAAGGATTATTTTGAAAAACTCTCTGTAATTAGCTAGATTCTAAGTCTCAATTGAACCTATTTCCAATCATATAGTATTTAACCAGTATCATATTTTGGCACCACTGCAAAGCTTGGTTTAATAAAAGAATTTTAGAAATTGCAGCTTAAGTAGTTACATTTTTTCCTTCTAAAATTTAGTTCACTTTACTGACTTTTACACAAAATAGAGGCTACTGTTATCGTGAAAGTTGATAAAAACAAGTGGCACTATTTGGTCATCACTATTTATACTAATAAGTAGGTTATTTTCCAGCTTCTGTATTCTATTGTTATTTCTGAAAGCAGCAAAAACTCATACAGAGTGTTTCTGCTTTCAAGTCTCTCCTTTTCATCCAATAACTTAGATATTGCTGACAAAATTTTGTCATATCTGAGTCAGGATCATAGAATCATATCATAGAATCATAGAATGGCCTGGGTTGAAAAGGACCCCAATGACCATCTGGTTTCAACCCCCTGCTATGTGCAGGGTTGCCAACCAGCAGACCAGGCTGCCCAGAGCCACTTCCAGCCTGGCCTTGAATGCCTCCAGGGATGGGGCATCCACAACCTCTCTGGGCAACCTGTTCAGTGTGTCACCACCTTTTCACCAGAAAAGAATGCCTTAAAGATAAATATGTTAGGAAAGCACAAGTTAGTGTCCACCATTAGGATTTCTGCTCTGAAGCTGAAGGCCCAACAGAACACTTGCAGTGTCTGGCCGTCAGCATGAAAATACATCCAGGCTAATCAGAGCGCTTGCCTATTTCCTGTCACTAAAAATTGTCTTAGCAGACGTGTAGATAAATTTTCATGAAACACACTTAAGATGAAAGATACTTAAGTAAATCCAATGTCATTGATTTCATTTCTCACAGAGTAATGTTTTATTTCTCATAGCTCCAAAGACAACACACCTGGGATCAATTAACCTTATAACAGTTCATGTTGTTGATGGGTCCAAAATGACTTTGGGTAATGAAAATATTATGTCAGATTATTTTTTGTTTATACCTTTCCTTTCTCTGCTTTTCTATATGACTAAACTTACACTTTAGTCAACAGAAATAACTTAAATATATCTCTGCCTTGTTCATTTGTTAGTCTTACTCCAGTGCATGTACAAAATATTGATGTTTTTAATTTTCCTGGAACTTTCCTGACATTTGGTTGATATTCCTTATAAAAATTCTCATACATGAGGAGTCATATAAAAAGACATTAGCTGCTCATCTTTTCCACTGTCTTTTGATTTATTAATTGTGTACATCTTCCCAGTCTTTAAATCTTTGCATGAAACCCTGATTATCAGCCAGGTTTCTACCACTGACTTTTTTTGTTTATCGTCTGCACTAAGTTTAAATTTCTCTTCTACCTGTGGTGATTTGATGTTTAAAAGAAATAATTTCCAGTTGATAAGCAATGAAATCTCCTATTTCAGTTCCCAATGAAACATATCAGATTTCACCCAAACCCAAAACTGCTCTCACTACTGAAATTCCATGGTTGTATACAGGTAATTCTTATGATTTTCTGTGTTGCATTGACTACCTACGTCTGTTAAGTAAAATCAATATGATTTAAGATTTAGTGGCTTATTCTTGTTACTCCTAAAGGCTTTTAAGTGCTATTAGTTTTGTGTGTATGGTCCTCCATTCAATAGTCTTGCAAACACAAATGTAACTGATTTCCACATTTTTCTTTCCAAAATACTAGATCTAAATTTTTGAAAAATTTCCCAACTATAACTGTCAAAAATGAGTAATACATTCTTTCCACAAGAAATGTTTTCTCAGGCACTTCAAAGAAGCTAGAGTAAGTGATGTTGATAGAATGGTTTTTAGACTCAAATATCAAATAGCTAGCTGTATTTATGTACAGACATTTACCTCAAAGTTACTCAAGTCCATTATTTGGCATGAAATGACAGTGACAACTGCTTACATTTTTAGCTTTCAGTGAGATTCTCATACATACTGTAATAACTAAAATGTTGAAACTATCAGACAAATGAAAGGTGGCAGTAGGAAAAGGTTGAAGGCTTGTAATTTTAGTCTTGCTGATGTTGCTATGTTCTACAGCTCTATAGTGTCTGCATTGAATGCTTTCGTTTGTCTTCGCAGGAATATTTCAATATTTCTTGTTTTGATCTGGATATTTGATTTGGGGAGATTCAGTTTGGTGTTTTATTTTGAGGTTTTTTGTTTGTTTGTTTTTTACAGAACCTAATTAATGTCTTAAGGCCATGGATACCTTGCAGAGCTAACTCTGTATCCATATACAGTTGGGTAACTGGCTGTAAATATTTTATATCTTTTCCTAAACCTAAACATGAATGTAACTGGTCAGACTGCATGATGGAGTAATCTGACCGCTAAAGAAACTAGTGTGCATTTTGGATCGGAACTCATAGAATTCTCATTTGTCCATTTTGCTATATCACTTTGGTGCATGGACCATTTTTTTGTGGCAAATTACGCTGCATTATTGATGTTGCTTTTACACATAGTATTTAAACTGAACTGTATTTCTTTTTAGCAGGACATAAAACACGTCTCACTTCTTTAAGACCAAGGCCATCTGATAAATCACAGGCCAGACCTGGTAATAATTATTTATTCTTTTTTTCTTTTTTTTTCTTTTTTTTTTTTTTTTATTGGATGGAGAAATCATTATTTAATGAATGATGTTCACATGTTCTTAGAGGAATCTTACTTATTGTTGGGAAAAAGGCAGGTTTTTCTTCCAATTAACCAGTTTGCAGGTAAAGCCTTTCCAATGTAGGAAAAGAGATCATACATACCAGAACAGCAACTGTTACTTACTCTTCTCTAATATGGAATTGTTGCCATCACAAATAAGTCTGTTTGACTTTGTCTTCTTCTTATGAAACTTTTTTTTTTCTTCTTTTTCTTACTGTTTTTTGGTTTTTGATTTGTTTGTTTGTTTTAACTTCTTCTCAGCTCCAAGTAAAACCACAGTAGCACCAGCTAGAACAAAAGCACCTGGCTTGCCAAAGTGGATTGTGCCAACAACAGGTAGAACTATTTTTTTTTTAACATATTAGGAATGTTACTTAATGAAATAATCTTGAACCCTGCAAAATACTTCATTACGTTTGATTTGACGTTAATTCCTTAGAGTACAGTAGAATATAATTGCTGACTTTAATAATTCTATACTGTTCTTGAGTGCCATGAATACAGAGTTATGTTAGACAGTATGTAAAAAATTTTCATTCTTCCATATAGCAGTGCCCCTGGTAGTGACATTTTTTGATTAAGTAGAAAAAATAATTAAAAAAAAGCCAGAAGTGTTAACATAATAACAGATATTTAACTATTTTAAGTGTTGTTTATTGTGCTTACTGCTATTTTAGGTCATTACTATAGTATTACTTTAAGCAATTTTTGTCTTAAATGCTTCATCTGGAGTACCCACTAGTGTTTGTTTCTATGTCTTTACAGTAGGGCTACTTACCATCAAGAACTACTTTCACTGTGGTAGATGATGTCAGAAATCCTCACAAAGCTACATTACCTTGTTGTGTAAGCTGAGTATTCACAAGGAAACTGATACCTTCTTTTAAAGTTCTGAAAAATGACACTTTTGCAACACTTTCATTCCTCAGCTATTTAAGTCTTTTCCTCTAAGTGAAGACATCATGAGGAGGTCTGTTAGCTAGATTTTGCATCCTGTCAAGTGGGTCCTTTAAGTTAAACAGGATGTCCAAAGTGCTAAGAAGGAGTGGGCATATATTCTCAACTTTTTATTTGTACATCTAGTCCTGCTGGCATAGCAACTCACTGATACCTTCTTATAACACGACATCTTCTCAAAAGTGCAGAGAGATCACTAATGAATTTTTTACAATTATGACATGACCAAAGAGGGCTGCAGCTTTTAGCAAATTCTTTTCATTCTCTACTATATTCTACCCTTGATGATCAATAAGTAAAATTCCCAAATTTTCTGTAGTGCAAGTACATCACAGTATTGTGGCAAATGCAATATCTGAGCATGTAAGGTTATCCATACTTACAAAAAGCATTTTGTACAACAAAGCATTCAGAAAATCAATTACAAAGAAATCTTTTACAACCCTCCCAAGAAATATGCAATTATGTGTTGCAAATGATCTCTTAAATCCACTGAAAAGACTTAAAAAAGAGAATTTGACTAACTTTGAACCCTAAATCTTACCGAGAAAAAAGTTATTTTTTTTTCAGTAGATGACATGTTAGAGAAATTATAATACAAATTAATATGTTTTGATTATTTTTGAGAGTAGAGAAGTATATTTCTTCCACTATGAAAATAGTATGTTATTTTCTGTAGTTAGATGATGAGAATTCTTTAACCTCTGGTGTAAGCTGTTCAGAATCCTTAACCAGCCTGTAAGAAACAATAAGTTTTCAAGCATTTAAACATTATTTCTTTTTCTGAAGAGTACATTTGTTACTCTGTTGTTTTAAGACCAGATAGGACATTTTACTTCCATCAGGCATCTATGTTGAAAGTGCTCCAGTTCTTCTTCCTGAGCATACACGTTAGCGTCAATGTTTCACCCCATGCAAAGTGTGCTTGGCAGCTGCAAGGCCCAGATGATAAGCTGTGGAGTTTGTTTTTTCCAGCAAAAGTGCATAGGACTGTGGTTGGTTTCCTGGCAGGCTTTTAATTCTCCTGGCTAGCTGTATATGTAGCTGTTATGCCAGCTGGTTAACATGACTGTGGGAAAGTCATTAACATTAACATTAACAGTAAGAGGAGGACAAAGGAGAATATCCACTCTTTGCTGGATGAGGCTGGGAATGTGACCACTGAGGATAAGGAAAAGGCGGAGGTTCTGAATGCCTTCTTTACGTCTGTCTTTAAAAGTCAGACCAGTTATCCTCAGGATACCCCTCTCTCTGACCTGGTAATCTCGGCCGGGGAGCACACTAACCCCCCTGTGATTCTGAAAGAAACAGTCAGAGACCTACTGCTCCAGCTGGACTGTCACAAGTCGATGGGGCCAGATGAGATCCACCCGAGAGTGCTGAGGGAACTGGCAGAGGTGATAGCCGAGCCGCTTTCCATCATCTGTCAGCGCTCCTTGTTGACTGGTGAGGTCCCAGAAGACTGGAGGCTTGCCAGTGTGACTCCCATTTATAAGAAAGGTCGTAAGGAGGATCCGGGGAACTACAGGCCTGTCAGCCTGACCTCGGTGCCAGGGAAGGTTATGGAGCAGATCGTCTTGAGGGAGATCATGCGGCATGTGCAGGGTGACCGGGGGATCAGGCCTAGCCAGCATGGGTTCATGAAGGGCAGGTCCTGTTTGACCAACCTGATCTCCTTCTATGATCTAGTGACCCATCTGGTGGATGAAGGAAAGGCTGTTGATGTGGTCTACCTAGACTTCAGCAAAGCCTTTGACACTGTCTCCCACAGCATTCTCCTGCAGAAGCTGGCAGCCAGAGGCTTGGATGGGTACACTCTTGGCTGGGTAAGGAGCTGGCTGGAGGGCCGGGCACAGAGAGTGGTGGTGAATGGAGTTAAATCCAGCTGGCGACCGGTCGTGAGTGGTGTTCCGCAGGGGTCGGTGCTGGGGCCTGTCCTCTTCAATATCTTTATTGATGACCTCGATGAGGGCATCGAGTGCACCCTCAGTAAATTCGCAGATGACACCAAATTGGCTGGAAGTGTGGATCTGCCTGGGGGTAGCGAGGCCCTACAGAGGGATCTGGACAGGCTGGAGAGCTGGGCTGGAGCCAATGGGATGAGTTTCAACAAGGCCAAATGCCGGGTCCTACACTTCGGCCACAACAACCCCAGGCGACGCTACAGGCTTGGGGCGGTGTGGCTGGAGGACTGCGTAGAGGAAATGGACCTGGGGGTATTGATTGATGCTCGGCTGAACATGAGCCGACAGTGTGCCCAGGTGGCCAAGAAGGCCAATGGCATCCTGGCTTGCATCAGAAACAGTGTTGCAAGCAGGAGCAGAGAGGTGATTGTTCCCCTATATTCAGCACTCGTGAGGCCGCACCTCGAGTACTGTGTCCAGTTTTGGGCCCCTCACTGCAAGAAAGATATTGAGGCCCTGGAACGTGTTCAAAGAAGGGCAACAAAGCTGGTGAGGGGTCTGGAACACAGGCCATATGAGGAGAGGCTGAAGGAGCTGGGAATGTTCAGCCTGGAGAAGAGGAGGCTCAGGGGAGACCTTATTGCTCTCTATAACTTCCTGAAGGGAGGTTGTAGTGAGCTGGGGGTCGGCCTCTTCTCTCGTGTCATTAGTGATAGGACCAGGGGGAATGGTTTCAAGCTACGGCAGAGGAGATTCAGGCTGGACATGAGGAAGTATTACTTTTCAGAAAGGGTGGTCAGGCACTGGAATGGACTGCCCAGGGAGGTGGTGGAATCACCGACCCTGGGGGTGTTCAAGGAAAGGCTGGATGTTGTGTTGAGGGACATGGTTTAGTAGGAGCTATTGGGAATAGGTGAACGGTTGGACTGGGTGATCTTTTAGGTCTTTTCCAACCTTAGTGATTCTATGATTCTATGATTCTATGATTCTATGAAAGGAGCAGGGGTTGCACCTTCTTGACTAGCATTCCTTTTTATTTTTCTGCCATGTTTTAAGTCATTTTAAATAAATTATCTACAATTTAAAGACGTGGATTGTTGTATTTACTTCCATGTATGTAATATACCTTACCCAAGCATTATCTGGTTTAATTTTTAGCATTTAAAAACTTCCGGACAAAATTCAGCAAACAAAGTTTCAACATTTAGCCTCCGTTCTGAGAGACAGTTGGTTTTCATTAGAACAGACAGCAACTTTATGCTCTCCTTGGTTTTTATTTTTGAAACTGTGAGTGTATAGCAAAGTTCTACAGGAATTCAAATATTAAGGTGTAATGTGTAGATGCAGTACTGGGGAACATGGTTTCGTGGGCAGCATTGGTGCTAGGTGGACAGTTGGACTAGATGATTTAGAGCACTTTTCCAACCTTAATAATTCTATGATTATATATGCTCTAATTTTTATCATTATTTTATATGCTCTAATTGTTTATCAACAGCACTTTTCTACTTCTTCCCTTCTAATGGCATTCCTGCTTTTAGAGATGCATTAGTTAGTTTTAAGCTGTCTCAGACCCCATGCATGCTTAAAAAATAATAATTTAAAAAATTGTAACTTAAAGAAACATGGATACACATTCATCTAACGAAATTATTCTCAGTTCTATTACAAGTTCGGATGAATGTTGAAATGCTTATACTATGGCAGCTAACATAGCCTGCTTAACACAAGTGCTATGATAAATACAGAAAGCTGTAGGACATTGCAGGTACTTTGTGTAGAAACAAACGTCAGTGATTTTGAAGAGCATTAAAGTACTCAAAATTGAGACTTTTGTCAAAAGGAGCATGTTTTACAAACCTAATGATAGTGCACGGTTCTGAACTAAATGTTTCTTCTGCCATCTGGAATGTTTACAACATTTTTTTTTTGTTGCTAGCTGATACAACTCAGAACAGATTGTGATTCCCAATTATATAGTTAAGAATAGAGGCAGGCTTTTTGAAGACACAGGTGCAGAACTAAGTTAGACTTGTAACAGATACTTGCGAGCCTGGGTGATTTTGTGAGATTAGGCAATGTAATGATACATTTTGTTGAAGTATTTATTGTGGGGTAAAGTTAAGAAGTTAGTATGCTTTGTCTGATGCCTATGCTCAATAAGATTTCTTTTTCTTTTTAAAGCTAACACTGATGTTCTCATACACCTTCCTCAAATGCCATTCACAAGAAACACTGATTAGTGCTCTGGTGCTTTGTATACCTGAAGACCTAATTAATTAACCACTTTAGTTACCTGAAGACAAATTGCAGTTATATTAAAATCACACAATACATTTAGGATTTTCAGTCACAGGGACCAGAAGACCCACATCTTGATACAACTTACTTCAAGTCTCATTATTTTAACCTGTAGGGAATCATTTCATGTTTCCATACTGCTTCTTTACTCTGTGAGGAATAGTGAGACTCAGTCATATTTTTAGAGTGCATACTTTCCATCCAATTCCATTTTTACTGTGGATTTCTAAGATATACTTAGCACCAATAGTGAAACAGTAAAATATATTTAAAAAAATAGGTTCTTCATATGTTGAAATACCAGTGTAGTCAGTAACAAGTTGAAGACTGGATTATAAAAATATGAAAACCTTTGTCGAAATGTTTAGATCACATGGAAATAGGCTATCCAATTTGATCATTAATCTCTTATTTATTTTCCTTTTAGATTTCAAGGTTTTCTCTCATGTCATGAGAAAGGGTGAATTTTTCACAAACGTGATGATCACAATGTGTGATCTTCTCAGTCTACCATATTAAGAGATTTTCATAAAGTAAATACACTTATTTACTTTATCCTATGAATGGATAAGGATTATCCTATGAATGTCAGCATGCGAAACAGTTTATTTGTACTAGAAGTTGCATTGATCTTTTTAATGTCATTTAATTTATTTATATTTTTAAAGCGTTAATATTCCTTTTAAGTAGGACATTCTTCTGTATATAAACTGAATTTTATAGACATTTTGCCTCCAGTACTCCAAGTGTAGATTGTTTGTTTTCTGAATTCCTGTAGTTATTCAGTATAGACAACAACCAAAGACATTATTTTTAAGGAAAAGAAGAATTTCATCATTTACAAGAATCAACAGACATCCTCTGTGCTGAAAATCTGAAATGTTTCTTGTACTCATCTTTGCACTTATAATTATGGTTTACATCATCAGTTTTCCCTTAATCTTATTCTCTATTTCTAAATATACCTTCATCAATGAATACTTAGAATTAAAGTGTAGACTTTCTAGATCAAGACTACTTTCTACTTACTTGAATAGGAAAATAAAATAGATATAACAAAGGTATCACTAAAAATACCAATTTTGCACTTCATGTTGGTGAGAGTTTGAACCTATACAATGTAGAATTGTTTCATAAGTCAGTACTGCCCTGTAGAAAATAGTTTACTCCCTTTCCCTTCACAGATGACATATATACACCTGAGGATATTGCCAGACATATTGGCATGGATGTAAAAAAACCTTTGGAATATATTGACACCTGGGAGAAGCCATTCTCTGGTAAGATTAACTGAAAAAAAAAGATACAGAGATTTCTAATAGCTATGAAAAATCAAGACATTATCTTTCTTACATAAAAACACCTCCGCTGAAGAAGAGAAATTCTTAATCGTCATATTCATGCATATACTTCTTACTTCAGGATGGTTGTAAGAGATAAAAATAAGAATATTTTGTGGCCTCTTCTTATTTTGTGGCACATGTTTGCAACTATAAATTACCATCATCACTGTTTGTTTCACCCATTTGGTCAAACAGCCACAGTACTGTAAGCGCTGATTATTTTCATTCTTATATAGTCTAGATAGCAAGGGAGAATAGATAATCAAAATACATTCCCACTGATAAGAAGGCTTTGTTGGATGTTAGGATAGTTAGGAAAATTTTAATGCGAGGGATGTTGCAAAATACCAAGGTGGAATGAAATAGCTTGAGTTTCTTTACATGTGCTCTCCCAGTCTTATCAGTTTTAACTCTCTTGAAAGAGAGACAATTGCATTTTCCAAACATTCAGAATATTTTAACTGAAGATATGCAAAAACAGTATATGTTATTTGTGATATGTTATTATCAGAATTTGGTTGCTTCAGCCTACGTGGCTGCTTCAGACATTTCTAGCAGAATACCAGTCTTTACACATGTCAATCCATACAGAGATTTTTTCATTTTTTTACATTAAAGTAGTATTGGATAACATATCTCTAATAATAATTCACCTTTGCTACATCTTACACTTCAATCTGAGGGGGACTGGTTTTATCAGTTAGAAAGTACAGAAGTAATGAATTCTGTGAGTAGGGCACTGAAGAAGTTTCCAACTACACTCAGATACTGTTTACTGTGGGAAGAAGTATCCCATTGGCTTCCAAAAAAAGAATGGTTGGCAGAAATGAGACTAACTAACTACACATAAAATAAACCTTCAAAGCATTTGTACAAAATCCCAGAGGATCTTTATTTTATCGCTGTAAGCTTGGTTTAAGATACCATAACACACACTTTCCAAAGAATTCAAGACTGAAAATACAACTGTATTTATTTTCATGCTTCATGTCTTTGCTTTTACTACTAAATCAAACGTGAAATAGTATTTCAGATGTCAGAATATGACTTCTATTGTATTTTCTGACTATTTATTGACTTGGAGGTTAAATAATTAATGACAGTGTCCTATTATGTCATTCAGGAGCTACATCACCTAGACCTCAGCATCCTCCTATACCTCCTGTCAAGCCTACACCAATGCGAAGAAAGCCTCTGCCTCCAAACACTGTGACGGGTAAACCAGGCATGCCAGGTATCTCAGCCTTTTCAGCATGAACATTTTATGTGTTACTTAACTCACTATCTGTGTACAGGAGAATTTTATAGTATAAATTCTTTCTTAAATTAAATGTGATATCTATAAAAACCAGTTTTCTTAAAGAGCCTTGTGTCTTTTGTCTGAATATATAAATTATTTCTATATAGAAACAGATATATTTAACCTTGTTATGTAACTCATCCACAGTAAGGGAGGTGAGAGCAAACCAGCATCAAATGAGCATAATACAAATCATCCTTTAAATAGATCAACGATAAAAACATTTCATGTCTACTAATAGCATTTGCAGTTATTTAATGTATGTATCAGATGGGAGATATCAGATATTATGCTTCAATACATATCCACAGCTGATAATTTATAAAAAATTCTGTCCTGTGTATCTGGCACATGCATTAACCGCTGGATATAGCTTGAGCTAATAGGCAGGCAAAACTAACTTATCTGGGACGTAGAGGAATAGAAGTTATCACATGTACAATGAGTTTAGCTTCATTTATGTGTAACAGTGTTCTTGCTTCTCAGTATCATTGTTAGAGCATGCAGAATCTTTTGCATTTCCTGTTTTATTTTAGTTTTATCCTGACGCTAATACTCAGTATCACTTCGTATGTATTTGGATTTGAAATTAGAATCCAAAGGTTAATAGGTTAATGTTAATTCATCTCACTCTGCTTAGTATCATAATACTCCCCTCCTCATATTACTCTTTTTATTTCACTGGAAATATGAACGTCTCGGTTCTGCTTTATTAATCATTTCACTTTATTTGTTTTGTTTTATTTCATTTGGGGAATTTGTGTGTTATTAAGGCAAGAAAGTTATGAATTTTTTTCTCCATTTTCATGAAAGCAAAGACCACCTTTCTGTTTGGGTCTGTCAAGGAAGACTCTTTTGACTTCTATGTCCTTTGCTACAGAATCTAAGCTGATCCATCTCTGCCGACATCGTTGTGAGAAAGCTTACCCCAGTAGCAGATCTTCATGGTGGCAGGACCTAAATAAATCTTTAATATTTTGTGCAGCAATTTAGAAGTAAAGATCTCAAAGATGGTTGAAACAAGCTGTGTATCTGCACAACAGCAGAGCTAAGAAGTGTCTGCACTTCCTGTTGACTGGTGGTATTTTCTTAGTAATAGCTAAAACAGAACATTAGACCTTGTCAGTCTTAATATGTAGCACACAAAAAAATTTGCCTCGATGCATTTTCATTTGCTTGTAATGGGATCTGTTCTTATTTTCCCCATTAAATCTCTAATTCATCTAACAGCATTTTGGAATTCCACCTTTTTTTTTTTCCATACACTAGTGGCCAGGTTATGGAGTAGTCATCTGTTGTCATGTCTTCCTAGACATTCAAGACAGAATAAATTGGTTAGATGACCTGGACCTTCCTTGTAGGGCCAGTAGTAGATTTTCCTTTTTCTTTGTTTCATAGTGTTTATTCAGCTTAGTTTTAAACACCGTGTAAGTTTCTTTCAGTTCTCTAGAGAGGTTGTTCCACATCATTAACAGGAAAATTTTGCTTCAATGTTCCTCTTGGATTTTCCCTTTCATAATTTTCTTCTGTTTCTCCTTCTTATTAATGCCGTGATTAATTCCTTACTTGTATCTTTCTCACTCGTCCACTAGGTGAATGTTATGAGAAAGTCTATATGCAGGCATTAAAAGTCTCTTAGCTATGTTAAAAAAAAAAAAAAAAAAAAAAAAGTTCCAAAGCATTTGTGGAACTGGACTGAAGTGAGAAGTAAGAATCTAAAATTTCCACTGTCCACTTTTATACTACCTTCATTCTTTGAACTTAATTCATCAACATTCTGCCTTCAGTCATCATGTTATGTGTTGTACTGCCAGTGAAGGTGACTACATTATGTAGTTTGTGGATTTTTGGAGGTGAGATTTCATAGCCACAATTGTCTGGTAGGTTTCTGAATATCAGTTACTGACTTAGCTCTTTTGTCTTGTAAAGAAATGTGCTCTTTTATTCAAGAAACAGAATGTTAATGTTGGTTATTTTATGACTTTTACCAGTGCTTTATAGCCAGGTCATGTTCTAGCTAACTGAAGTTCTTAAAGACAGTCTCCAAATAACAAAGAATTTTATTACTAGATTTCAAGGGTAAGTTATATTGCCAATATGGACAACTCAGACTTTTTAAATCCAACTGGAAGCTATTGAGTAAGGTTTGAGGGAAGTAGTTTTAATGAAAGTATTTACCCACATATTTTATGAAGTAGTCATCAGAAATCGGAATTCTGATGAGAATGAAGTAGCTTTTTGATTTTCTGAATAGTGAATGCCTTTTTGCCATAAGCTTCTCCTTCTGTCACCGTAGCTAAACCAGCTGGACCAACAATGCCCGTGAAGACAGGAGTGCCTTATAAGACACCAACAGCTTTTGCAACTCCAGAGTATTATGGTGAGTATAACACAGACAGTTCTGAACTGTTTGTTTGTTTGTTTGTTTTCTAAAATGCACTTAAGTTCCCTCTTTTTTTCTTGTTTCCTTTTCTTGAATACACTGATCCACCATATATTTAATATAAGAAGTACTCTATCTGGGATGATTCTGATTTCTGTTTTGCCACTTTGTCTAAATTGGTAAATTGGCTGAATTCATATCAGTGTCTTCTAATATACACCTTTGTAAAAGGAGAACATGATGACCCTTCTATCTTGGTAGAAATCAATACATGCTAAGCAGGACTTCAGTACTATTCAGTGTCTACTTTTAGTCTGTGAGAGAAGTAAATAAGACACTTCTTTTACTGAACATTTCATTTTGTATAGAATATAAATTAAAATTGTTAACTTGACAGTGGCAAACACTCAAGGTGGTTGTGGTATCCTACTACCTAAGATCAATATGTTACTATCTAGATCAGAAAAAAAAAAGAGTGCAATAGGATAAACATAATGATCTGTTGTGAATTAATCTTTTATAAAATCATGTAGGAGTAAGCTACAAGTGGAGGAACACTTCCAGTAATGATTTAAAATGCCAGAAGAACTGTGAAATTCTAGAGTTCTAACATTGAAACAATATTTATTGCAAACTGAGTCATAACTGTGTCTCCTTACAGTTGATGCAACTGTCTTCAGTTCAAGCCCTACGTCAGAAACAGACTCTTCAGGCAAGCCAAGGTACCTAGGTAGGATTTTAAAAGCTATGTTATTTCAATTTGGGGAAATATATGGAAACAGTTTTTAATCAAAATTTTCTTGTTTGATTATTTGAGGGCCAGAACTTCATTTGATTCTTTTTCACCTCAGTCAGATGAAAGGGCTCTGTGGAGAATCAGGATCACCAGCCTGTTCTTGGCTGCATTTTACATCTATTCTGTTTTCTTCCATATTACAGCCTCCTACTTCGCAGTCTAGCAAATTTGAATTTTAGAGCTAATGAGTTTTTAATTATAAATTTCAGTAATTTTCTTTTACAAATTTTCACGCAGAATGCAAGACATTTGCCTCAGGTTTTCTTCAAGGTTTGATCCTGTACTGCTGAAAATGTTTGAGATTCTAGCATTTTCTAGAAGCTGCAAGTTAATGACTGAATTACTCTCAACTAAACACTACTCTTGCTGGTGGACTAGTGGGCATTACGTCTTCGTATTATCATAGCACTCAAAAGTTGCAAATGAAATTGTGGTGTCACTTTGCTGTAGAAAGAGTACAACCCGTTGTACTCTTCACAACAAAATTTAATTATTTCAAATTGTTTAACAACATGCATTACTCATTAGTGCCTGTAAAGTAACTTTTCATCAGCGGTGACCATGGGAAGAGAGTGAAGTGAGTGCAGATCCCATATCTAAAACAACCAAATAAATAAGAAAATTTTAAAAATAAATAAATAAGTCAGAGCAGCTTAGAGAGAGTATTGAATATATAGTTTTTAATTCTTGAAGTCAAAAAATGGATTTTGACTTGTGCATATTTTTGCTACAGTCCCTGAACTGGAAGTTGCATACTGGGTGGAATTGCGTTGATGTTTTACTAAAGCATCAGTGTTTGTACTTTGTATGGAATAATAACCTTTTCTTATTGCTTTTAGCACCCCATGTCAAATATATGAAGAAAGATGATGATGTGCCTTGCTCTATCACAAGCTCTCTTGAACATTTCCCTCAAGAAGAGGCTGGCATCAAAGAAGAACCTACCCGTCCTCCACAGAATCCTCCCACCAACCTCACAGTTGTGACTGTTGAGGGCTGTCCAACTTTCGTCATATTGGACTGGGAGAAACCAGACAATGATACTGTTACTGGTTGGTTTGATTTTTCATCTATTTTATCAGATTACAGTATTTCTGTGGTTTTATGCAATTTAAGAAAATACTGTTACTTGAAAGGAGCTTTTGTGTCATGCTACTGTCTGTCAAGTACGTGTAAGAAAATGCTAATAGATTAGAACAAGATTTTCTCAGCTGTATCACTGGAGACTCTGATGACACAAAAAGATACTTAAGAAATATGACCGTATCTTCCCTTCATTTCTAACATTTCTGTTTACTGTAGATAAGAAAAACTTTTCAACCCTTCCGGTAAGAACAAATCAAGAAGTTCTAGCAATGTAATAGAACTCTTTATTATTAAGTTACATACACACAACGGAGACATCTTTTGTGCCTTACAGATGTTTTTGATTAGTGAATCAGCAAGCCAGACATAAGCCAGAATGCTTACATCATTCTAGTAGATCAGCAGAACTCTGCCACATATGATCTGTAGTATCCACCATAAGGTCACCAAGTTCTCTCTGTTTAAAAACATCTGTTTATTTTTTCTCATTTGTAAAACGTTATTGTATTGAGAGTAAACACTTTGTGAGGCAGGCATGAATGAGTACCTAGATGGGTAAACGTGTAAGAAGACCACTCGTAATTCTTCCATCATCTTCCATGTATTAACACAAGCTGACCAGATTTGAACATTTGAGAGGAATTTATGGTTCCTCTGTACTGTCAGAAAATGACTTTCATTTTTACCTCTGACATAAAAGAAAATTTTGATTTGCAGCGTCACTGGTACGCCACTACTATGGCCAACCAGATTTGACTGTGTTACTTTACAAGAGAATAGAACAGTTAAAAGTAGGAACTCTGGAGAGCAAGACTTGATGATTAGCCATTCACTTTAGAATATAAGTGGGATGTTTTCAGATGTTGCTCTATGTGCCTTTCATGACAGATTTGAGTGCAGAGGTATAATAATGACTGTCACAAATTCTCTTTCCCAAATTAATCCTTTCTTGTTCCTCTAGAAATGATTGCTAGGTTCAGCCTCCATTCTTTCTTGCTCTTTCCACAGTTTTGGGAAATAATAAATGCAAATTGAATGAACATAAAACAAAAATTAACCTGCATCTTCTGAGAAACAGGAAAAAAGTTGCCTCTCCTGATGAATGAAAAGGGGGAACAAATGTCTTTAGGCTAATATAAAGTATCAACAATAGATAGGAACGGTTACCTAACTTGCTGTGTTGTGCTGTTAAAAAAGAAGCGTGAACCTATTCATAGCCTAAGTATGAGGCTGAGGAGAGGCTATGTGAACAGTCCCCATTCTAAGCAGTACTGCAGTGCCTCTTTTTGTTTTGCTCTGTTGTTTTTGTTGACATTTAGAGACATTTTCTCCACATACCTAACCTTAGTTTGATTAGGTCAGATATTCACTTAGTCTGCATGTTTTCTTGGAAGCAGGCCTGCTGTTTTTCTTGAACGTGTCATACCCACTGCAGCACAACCAGTTCAATTACAGAAATATAAAAATATTTACATTATAGCTGGGAAAAATGTCAACATGCATCATGTAGTGATGAAAGCAAGGCCTGGTTGCCATTTAAATACAGTCTTATTTCCTTTCTTTTTCACATTTGCAGTGAAAACAGACCAAGCAATGCACACTGTATTTTGTGTCTTTAGGTGGAAGTGCTTGCTGTAATCACTGTAAAAATTAATTTTGTGTGAGATTCTTCTGGAACACTTGTCTGAGACACCTGGCATAACCCTCTCTCTTCTGAGAATGGAGATTAAAACTTTCTGCAGAACATACAAATAGGATTCATTTTGTTTCACTGAGATAAATAGTTTTCATTCTAGGTAGCTTAATTTCTAGAAGTAACAACAATCCCATAAAAACAATTTTGATTCTTTTTAAATTCAATATGTGTAACACATAATGTTTGAACTCTGTGGTTTACAAATACTCCCAATGAGTTTGTCTCTGTAACTTCAAAAAAATAACTCCATTATTGATTCATCCAAAGATATTTTCTGGATTCAGGAGAAGGAGGCAATGAATCCCCATTTTTTCAAAAAGGTGATTATTTCATGCTGGCACAAATACAGTATTACTTGTTTAGACAAACAAATCAAATTTTCTGTCATCTCTTCTTATTTTTGTGCATGTTTTCTCAAAGTTCTGATTTGGGCGACAGATTTTATTTTTTTTTCAGATAGAACTGTGGAAACAGTGGTGTAATTTTTTAAGCCTTTTTTAAGAAAGAATTGCTCTGGTTGACCTTTAGCTAATGTATTGCATGAGGGTTTTCATCATTCTGGTTATTACTAAAAACAAAGTTGTACTTCAGTAATGGAAAGGTCTGACAAATAATACCAGAGCAGTGATCAAGCTTACCTTGTTGTTTTCATAAAGGCTACAAATGTCAGGGACCAAGACATTTTTGCTGGTGTTCTGCTAGTCTGGTTGTGTTGCCTCAGTGTATTGCCTCAGAGCAGCATATTCTCTAATCCACTGGGGTTCATTGTTCGTATGTAGTAACAACCTGGTGCTGAATGCATTCCAGTAATTCTTTGTGTGTGTGCGTGCAAGCACATGCCTATGCACACATTGTTTTATGTTTTATTTTTCAACTTGAATGAGTTAAAAGTTCAAATCACATGGTTTTTTGCATCTGAGCTATCCATTTCTGCAGGTCTGTGATTTTGTTTTTAATAGGCAGTGGTCTTCTGCTCTTCAGGGGTGTCTTCTAGAGGAGCACTTTTGAGCAATGAAAGTTTGAAATCTTCAGTATCAGCAGTAATTCTTTTCTTCATGCTGATTTTCTTACATGCTCTTAAACCTATTTTAAAGTTTAATTTTGCTCCATATATGCTCCAAATAACTGAGACTATTTTAAGATATGATATAAAAATACCCTTTTGAAACTATTATGGCAAGTGATTTAAAATCCACATGTGCATGTATATATGTAATTACCAGGACTGAATGACTGGCTTAGAAGCTTGGAATTTTAGAACACCAATGTTTTAGGGATGCTTTGCACTCCCACTTAATTTTATCACCATTAAATAACTTACTACAGTGTTTTCAGTGTCTGCTTTTTGCAAGAAGAATGCAAAGAAAGACAGAGCTGCATATTCACAGTCAAAATTAGATCAGTTCATTTCTGTATTTGTGCTTACGTTCATTTTCATACACAATTAGGAGAGACAGAGAGTCTGAAAGTCCAGCAATACTTGTGAGAATTTTATTCCTTTTCAACACTGAGTTTCACTGCAGGTAATGTTTTATCTTTCCATGTTGACAACAAATGGATATACTTGTATGGAGAAATTAAGAATAAAAAAAAAAAAAAGCCCTACGGCTTGCTAGTATTTACTTAAAAACTTCAAAATTAATAGTGTCATGAGAGAAAAAAACAAACAGGAAAGGAAGTAGTTTTGTAGGGTTCATAGGTAGTTCCTTTGTTCATTTTTGCAGTATAATACATGCTTTATTCCACCATGCTATAGATCTAAATTACGCATGTTCTTTGAAAATGTTTTGCTATGCTAGCTTACAATTAGCAAAGCTGAACTTGGGATTATAGACAATTTTTAGGAAGATAAAGTAAGATCCTGAGAAGCTGTGAATTTCTTAACAGAGAGGAAAATCAGCAATATACTCCATGTTTTCATTAGATGAGGCAGTTGTGAATCACATTGGGGGATGCATATAAAGAAAGACTGTGTCTTGGACTTAGCTATGGTTTCACAGACTCGTAGAATCATAGAATTACAAGGTTGGAAACAACCTATAAGATCATCTAGTCCAACCATCTCCTCATCATCATTGCCACCACAAGCTACTAAACCATATCACTTGTTGAAGGTTATCTTCTTCCCAACCACATGACTTGCTCTTGGTGGTACATACCAGTGAGATAAAGAGAAAGTAATAGGCCTCTATAAGTAATATACAAAATTCTAAAATGCCATATTCCCTAAGTGCACAACCAAAATTAGTGTGGAAATCTTAAAAACTTAGCTTCGTCAAGGTTTAAGCATTTAGAAACTGTAATTCCATTTTTGATTCTTCTTCATTCAGACAAAAGGATATTTAAACTTCTTTGTGTTCAGAATTCTGTCAATAGCATGCCTTTGGCAGAGGTGAGATGTTGAATATCCTCTGTCCCTCAACTAAATTATGAGAAAAGATGAGGGACTAGACACTCATCAATGTGTAATTGGAACTCTTCAGGTGTTTTTCTAGCTGTTTTAGAATAATGATGCCCAGACTTGTTCACATGAGACATCCATGCAGCCTGTTAGACAGTGGAAGATGAGAAAAAGATGAGAAAAGAGAGAGCAATAAAGATGCTCAAGCTAGAGCTACTATTTCAGCAAATTTCTCTTTACGGTAATTTTGCAGAGTATGAGGTTGTGTCAACTGAAAATGGAGTGACTGATGGTGAAAAGGAGAAGTCAATTATCACTACAAATCAAACGCATTCTACTGTGGAAAACCTGAAACCTGACACAAGGTAATTAAATAAGAATATTTTCTAAGTTAATTCAACTAATCTAGACTGTCTGCTAAGTTCTACTTCAAATGAAAATGTATTATATGTATAAATGTAAGAACAGTTACTTCAAATAATACATATACTTATAATGTATTAGAGCAAATTGGTTTTAATCCTGCTCTGATAGGAAAAGGTATGCTTGTATATTGCTTCCTTTTAACAGATAATGCAGTTCTGAGGAATGTTTAGGAAATTTCCGATAAAATATGTATGGTCTGGGGAGAGGGGGAGAAAAGCAGTGTCCTGTGTTTCTGTTGTTCATTTATTGCATTGTAAAGTTAGTGAATGACAAGTGTTTTTTTCTGTACAACCGTTTGACTATGGTAATCATATTTTTCCATCACAAATACACTCCCCTTTTCTCTTACTATCATTAAATTTGTAATACAGCACAAAATTCTGTGCAGAACCCATCACAAAGTTTAACTTTTAGGCGACATGGATTAATCTGGCACACTGGTTTTAGCTCACCTACTTTTACCAGCAGCTTCCAGAAGGAGGAATAAGGAGCTGTTGCAGAAAGTGAAGAGGAAAGGAAGTAGAAAAGAAAGGCTAAGCAAAACCAAACAATAAATAAATTAAAAAACAGCAACAACAAAACTTTGAGAGACTCCAAAACTCAAAATACGGTTAGAATGCTGATAATCACAATTATCTCTGTTATTTCCTAAGGGAAATTATTCTGTTATTTCCTAAAGTCACACTGCTTGTGAAAGGGTGAATTGACAATATGTTGTTCTGTCACTTATTTCAGCAATACAACTGGTGCTGGAGACCAAGCCTTAGTTTCCTCCATTTCATCAACAAATGAGGAGGCTGAGATGAGACAGCAAAGCAAAAGATCTCTGGACTAGCAGCTAAAGAAAGACAGTGGGCACTGCTGCTTGTGCTTTCGCTTCTATTTTAATCTCTGCTTTGGAATGAGGCAGTTCCATTCTTGAAAACCATCTTCAGATAACTGTTTTGGGGTGGGTTTTTTTTTCCAGAAAGGATGCAAGATGGAGGCAGGCAGAACCAGCTAGAACTCTTGGAAAGGTCATAAGGAGGACAGGAACTGTGGGAAATAGATAAGCTGGTTTATTTAACTTTAATTTGTAACAGTTCTGCCAGTACCTATGAGAAGATGTGGGGAGCAAGAGCAGAGCAGAGACCATGGAGACCAGCTGTCTTTTGTAGTGTGGATTTTGTTAAATAAACTTAATATGAGATCAGGACCAACAGGCAGATGATGTCTTAGGATAAAAAGGAGTACCTTCACCCTGATGAGGTGATGGTTATAATCTCCATTCCCACTCTCAAAAGAGAAAGGCAGCAAGTATTTCTGGATTCAGGAAGCCATCATCCAAAATTGAAAATATTTTATGTGAATTGCAGTACTGCATGTCCCTTCAGTCCCACAGGATTTCAAGGAGGTGAAGTCCTCTGTGCAGTTCTGCTTGATTAAATTGCAGTTTCAAAATGTGTGTTTCCTAATTTTGAAGACTCAAAAGGACAAGAAGTTATTACTGTTGCTGTTTGAATCCAGGCTTATTGGCACGTTAAGTTCAGGAAAAGTAAGAAAGTCATTGAAGACGACTGGCATCGTGTAGACAGTGTCAGTGTTGCAAAGAAAAACGTATGTTCACAACAAAGGTTTCCTATTTGTCAGGAGCTGATTGCTCACTGATTATGTAAATGGCCAGGTGGGTAAAGGTGACTGAAAATAGAAGGGAGAGACACACAGTGAAACACAACTGAATAAAGTAATTAACAGAGTCCCTGAAATGTCTGCAATTTCATCAAGTAATACATTAAATCCAGGAAGTGGATTTTTCCATAACTAGCTTTAAAAGAAAGAGCTGTAGAAGAGGTGGAGCTGGAAAAAAACTTGGAGGAGAAAAAGAAATCTGTCTTGCAAAGGACCAACATTTACAAAACTACTAGCAAGTATATGGAAAGAGATGCTCAGTAGCAGAAAGTGAATTAGCTAGGAAAGAACCTCTTGGCCCTGCAACACTTTGGAGAAGCTGACGAGCTGAATTTGAGATTCTAGTTTTTCCAAGTTTCCTGAAGCCATCAGTGATGCTGTGTGAATCCCATATGCGGCTCTGAAGATTCAGTGCCTCCAGAGCTGAGGAAAGTTCAAGATCGATCCAATCTGGGCAGATCTAAATTGAGAACTGCCAAAAGGAATAAGAATGACTGTGAATGTTGAATCTCAGTTTCTCTCAGTAAATTTTAACCAGAAACTTCCTATGGCAGCAGAACTACAGTTCAAGCCTGTAATTCTCCAGATGTTTAGCCTTGAGGAGCTTTACATGACAAAATGGTCGGTAGCCCCCCCCTTGTCCTGTTGAGGTAAAACAGATAGGATATGCTAATGCCTGGCCAGAAGCTAAAGAATTAACTGTCCACATCCAGGAGGACCGAAGCAACATGAACAAATCATCAGTGCAAAGGGGACAGAGCAGGCAGCTGTGAAAAACTGAGTGTATCTGTGTCTGACAGATCATGCTGTTCCTTTTTTCTGTTGCATTCTTCTTTCAAGTAGATCATACTGCTACCTCTGGAAAGCTCTGCAGTAAGCCAGGCACCCCTATTGAGGAAGACAGCTTTTACAGATGAGGAGATAATGGCCAGACTTGGAGTATTTAAGAAATTTGGACTGTGCTAGGAAGACAGTTGCAATGAGAGACTCAGTCTCTCTTGAAAAATTGCTTGTGTGGTTGCAGCTGTCAGTAACTATAAACGTGGAAGTTAAACAGGATACAAATTTCTCTGAAAAGGAGGATTATTATAATGGCCATTTACCTGAAAAGTGACTAGATCCAGAAAAAATAGTTTTGCCAAAAGAGAAATGGAGTTCTCATTAGCAGTGCAGTTATCAGCTACTTGTTTTTCAGACATTCATACCATCTTAATATGGAAATGAAAATGAATCTTCGTAGACAAACAGCAACTTATGAGAGCTATTTCTAAATAAATGAAGTTTCTGGAAGTTTTTCATATTTCCTGTTTGTCTTATATGCCAACCTTATTCCTTTTTGGTGACTTGATCACAACACATCTGGACTTGAGATCAGAGTAGAAATTAAAAATCTGTCAGAATGTGAGGAAATATGCCCTTTAAATAAATTTGAGGCACAGTCATTTGCTTCCCACACAAATGCTTGTTAAAAAAAAGACTTCTACAAACTCCTGTATGGTTTGATTTCCTTGGAGCATTGAGATTCCTGCACATTTTTCCAGAAAAAAGGGGACGTTATATCTATTCCATTCTCTCTTAGTAAAGCATGCCTGGCAGTGGCATTTATTTAAAGAGTTTCCCTTATAGGACAAGTATGTCTTTTTCACCTGGAGATTTGCCAAACACGATGCTTGAGGTATTTCACTATCACATCTTAGAAAGCTGCTGTTTATCTTAGCGACCTGGAAAGTATTAATTGTGATTTACATAATATGGTTGGTCAGAGTTCTTGAAACTGCTCCTCCTCCTGGCATTAAGCTGTTATCTGACTCCACATACTCTGGATCTAGATTTCTGTTTAGTTTCATCAAGTATTTTGCTTTTACCTGAAATATCTCAAAAGTTGTACATAATGCAAGCTAAAAGACTATGGATAATTCTTACACAGAGAGTTACCATGGAATCATAAAATCATAGAATGGTTTGGGTTGGAAGAGACCTTTTAGATCATCTAGTTCCAACCCTCTGCTATAGGCAGGGACACCTCCCTCTAGATCAGGTTCTCAAAGCTCCATCTAGCCTGGCCTTGAATGCTTCCAGGATAGGGGCATCCACAGCCTCACTGGACAACCATGTTCCAGTGTCAGTGTCTCACCACCTTCACAGTAAAGAATTTCTTTCTAATATCTAGTCTAAATCTACCCTCTTCCAGTTCAAAACCATTTATCCTTGTCATGTTACTGCATGCCATTATCAAAAGTCCCTCTCCAGCTTTCCTACAGGCCCACTTCATCTAATTGTGCTCGAAGATGAAATCTTTCTCTTGTTTTACAAATGTCTTCTGCTTAAGAATTTCTGTTATAGATGTGCTCCTGTGAGCTAATAATCACATGTACAACTTTATACTGAAGGTAGCTATTATTATCTTTCACATTATTTTCAAGAATTCTAGAATAGATTCAGATCACATTTCAGTCATCCCTCTGTTGTCACACATCCCACACCAAATTTTCTGCAGCTTTTACTGTCTTTATCCTTCAATTAGTCCTTCTCATTAAACAAAGCTAAATAGCTCAACTCCATTCATCCTTCTTTCTTCTAGTTCATTCAAGCATTGAGTAACCGTGAGCTTGTTTGTGAACCTCTGAGCAACCTCACGTAGCTTTTAAGTTGGCTCTGTAATGAAAAGAGGCCTGGATCAGATAGACCTTCAGACCTCCATTCCAACCTGAATTATTGTACGATTTCTTCTTATGCGAGTAATTTCTGATCATATTAATCTTAACTTTGCTCATATTCTTTAATGCAGACTGAGATATTTTTGTATGTTTTGTATGTTATCAATTATTTCTTAGCAAAGAAAAAAGAGAGAGAAAAGAATGTTCTAGTATGAACTATGTTGTCAGCTTAATATTTGCCCCCCAAATGGAAAATTCACAGTTTTTATGCTGAGAGCAGGTTTTTGAGAAGTGCACCATCTACTCTACTTGGAAAATATCCAAAGCCAAACCACAGGATTTATCATTTTGGTCAAAACAATTTCAGTCTATTTTCCAAGCAGTCATTTGAGGAGACCTGTAACATTCCATCTAACTTGTCATACAGATCTCATATATTTGAGTTTGTTTATAAGACTGCCCCCACTGGAACTCTTATTTTCACTGGCATACCCAGAAGCCCATTCTTTGTGCTTTTTGTCTGTCTTAATTTTACACTGCCCTTAAACAGAGAAAGTACTGCAGTAATTTCTCCTATGATAATAGTCAAGCAAGATCTGCCAAGTGAGCATCTAGCAAAGTAAGCCAATTATTCAGATTTTTCAGCATTTCCTTAATTGAGATGTTTGCTTGTAATCAGCCTAGAGAGACCTGACATAGAAATGAGCTTAGTATGATTTTTGATTCCTTCATTTTGTCTCATGCATAGTAATGATGGTGTTCAACTCCATTATCTCCATCGTTAAGATCAGCTTCACTTTTTAATGGATCTTTCCTTACCTAAAATATTAAAAACAGATGTTGGGGTTTTCGTTTGGGGTTTTCGTTTGGGTTTTGGTTTGTTTGGGGTTTTTTGGGTTTGGTTTGGTTTGTTTTGGGTTTTTTTGTTGTTGTTGGTTTTTTTTTGTTGGTTGGTTGGTTGGTTGTTTTTCTTTTTTGCTTTTACTTTCTCATTTCCAAAGGAATTTTGCCTTTATATATTTTTTAACAGTTTTTTAACTGCTTAAAATTGATCTAATTTTTCTAAGTCTCCATATCACCTGATCTGGTTTCATTTTTACTTTCCTGTTTCTGCTGGTTCTCCTGCCAAAATAGGTCATTTTTGTTTATCTTTGCCCTATCTTGAAATATTTTTTTTTAAATTAAGTGTATATTTTTTCTTTCATTCTGGGGGTTTGTTTAAGGGCAGCTAGGTTCATAGAATATGTCACTAGTGTCCAGGAAACTTTGCAGAACTAATTACTATACAAGCCTTCAAAAAAGAGTCTGAATATTGTTGAAAACAAGTTCTCATGCATGTTTGTATTGGCAGTAATTGGAAGGTAATAAAGGAAAATATGAAGACTGCAGTTCTGCTGTGTTAGTCAGAGATGTGCCAAAGTAACCCTGGGGAAATTCAGATAGTCATTAAAATGGGGGGTGTGTCCCCTCAGTCTATTGGTGATAGATTTTATTCCAAAAAATATTATTAATAAACAAAAAGGCTGTGATGCTTGCATTCCACAGGAAAAGGTTCTGATCTTTTCTCTGGTTGAGTAGTTTGATCATTTCAAATATACTTTTCTCCTTTTTAAGTACATTTGGAGGGGTCTTTTTGGACTTTTGGTTTAGATTGTATCCCTAGGTAAAGTAAAGTATGTTTCCAACCATAATGTTTCTTGAGGAAATATAAATGCAGAAATAAAACCTAATAAAAATAAATACACATAAGAACACCAAAAAAAAAAAAAAGAGAGAAAGAGAGAGAAAACAAAAACCATGAAGTAAAGATAAAATTTGTAGCATATATGTAGGATATACTGTTCTGGGTTTTTTGTTTGTTTGTTTGTTTTTTTCATGTTTAAAGGTATGAAACAAAAAAGAGAATGTCATAATTAATTTACTCAAAGGCCATGCCGAGTAAGTCTTCATACCTCTACTGAACAGTAGAATCATAGAATGTTTTAGGTTAGAAGGGATCCTATATATTATCTGGCTCCAGCCCCTTGCTCTGGGCAGAGATACCTCCCACTCAACCAGGTTTGCCCAAAGCCCCATCCAACACTTCCACGGATGACCACTTCTCTGGGCAACCTGCTTCAGTGCCACACCATCCTCGTGTTTAAGAATTTCTTCTTAATAGTAATCTCAATCTAAATAATGAATTTAAATCATTACCCTTTGTTCAGTCACTACACTATATCATAACAAATCCCTCCCCTAGTTTTCCCCCTCTAAATATTGGAAGGCCTCCACCTTGGAAGGCCTCCATTATAATATTGAAAAGCCTCCATTGTAAGGTCTGCACAGAGCCTTATCTTCTCTAGGCTAAATAATCCCAACTGGAAGCCAGAACCTTTTTGAAAGTTTATAGCAATATCCATACCACCTGCTCATGTCATTATCATTATCTAGGTGGTATTGCACTTAGCCAAAATGTGCTAACGACATAGAAGAGAAAAATTTCCTGATGCATATAGATAAGTTTTTGTTAACAGCAAGGGTCAAAAGATGAGAACTACAGTGAAACCTGCAATGCTGTTAGGATAGGAATTTGAAGGTAATAGGGATGAAAAAAAAAGAAACCTACAGAAAAAGCCTTGAGGGTTTTTTGTTTTTTGTTTTTTTGTACTATTTATCACAAAACTGACATTTTTTTTTAATTAAATTTCTGTTGATGCCACAGTCACTTGTAAGCACTTCTCTTTTCTCTTGGCCGTTCTACTAGCCTGGTTAAGAGAGAGACTCCTCAAACAAGCTAAGCATCATTTGCTGAAGTAAATGTTTCCTGCTGTTAACCTAGTTTTGTTTGTTATGTGTGGTGACACAGCAACTCTGGCACATTCTCCAGAGAAAGAGAAGCTCAGTACATTGAAACAGTCCTGCATGATTGTTATTTAACCACAGGCACCTCACAACCTGTTGACCTTATATCCCAGGAATGGACTCGACTCCTCCAGTCCTCAGCATTATGATGAAAACCTTTCTTCAGATATTCTCTGTTCTGCAGTCTTCCATCTTCTCCTTTTGCATGATTTGAAAAATGCAGGAACAGTTACATCTGCCAAGGTTCCATGTGGAATAGTGATTTCCTATGGTGGAAAAATGTGCTCTGCACAGTAATTACTGTTGAGTCAAGTCCATTTAATCTGTACAATGACTTTTATTGTCTTACGCAGTTTGGAAGGATTTGGGAGGCCTAGTCCTCTCCTAAGTGTCTAAGACATCAGTCTTAAAGAGGTTAGAGGTGTGAGAGAGCTAGGTTGCTACGTATATTAGGTAGCAAAATATTTGGCATCACGGGTGCACAGATATAAAGATGGAATAAAGGCTGCAGTTTCTCATGAATATCAAATCTAGCTATGATATAGGCATGGGATAATCATTCTACAGCTTTCCTATTTGCCTTTCTTAACTTTGCCCTACATACCTTCTTGAACCTCTAAGTAATTCTCCCCAGACTTGTAGCTTGTGCTGAAATGCATAAGATTGCAGCAAGTAAGCACCCATATTTTTACACATTTTTATATTCATAGAATCTTAGAATAGCTTAGTTTGGAAGGGACATTAAAAATTGAGTAGTTCCAATCCCTCTGCCATGGGCAGGGACGTCTCCCACTAGATTGGACAGACAAGAGCCCCATTCAGCCTGGCCTTGTGCACTTCCAGGAATGAGGCATCCGCAACTTCTCTGGGCTGTCAGTTGCAGGGCCACACTACCCTCTGAGCTAATTATTTCTTCGTAATGTCTAATCAGGTTCCAACCTCTTTTAGTTCAAAACCATTACCCCTTTTCCTATCAGTACATCCCTGATAACGAGTCCCTCTCCAACTTTTCCGATCTTCCACCTGATGCGCAAAAAGGGAGATTTCATTTGGTTTTCTATGAAGAGACACACCATGACTTTAAACTTACAGTCACATCTGTAAACTCTATCACACCACAAGCTCAGTCCCAATTCTGGGATTCTCATTTTGTTCTGTGTTTAGTCTATTAGGGCCATTAGTCTATTAAGCCCATTGCGTCTTGTGCATCTCTCTAGCTGATACAAAAAAAAATGTTATTTATTAAAAGAAGTTCACTATGCAAGCACCCAGAGCATATGAAAAATATCTGTAACTGACTGACATGCACAGGGTAGATTATGGCTTCTAGTCAAGGGGAAGGCATGAGGAGGGTGCTTTTGACTGGTGTAGGCACGCTTCACAGTTCTTTGGCACAGAGCTCCTAGAGGTAAGCACAGGTACTGGGTGAGAAACTGAGCTGCTGCTGAGCAGTGAGAAAATCCCTGGTGCTGCCAGCCTGCAGCCTGGAGAGGTAAGATCATAGCCATGTCTTGTCTCTCCTCTGTAGCCCTCTTTTCTGCCTCATCTGGCTGGTGTCTTCTGTGCATCTTTTTTAGTCTTGCGGCTAACTTTGAATCGCTGTTTACCCACAGCATCTCACTGAATGTCAGCTGAGTTGCTGAATTAGCATTTGGTTGGTTCCCAGCAGAGCAATGTGGAAGAGAAATCATGAGATAACTGCAGTATAGACTGGTGTTTCAAGGTGATACTGTGAAAATTTAAGGTGACGCAATATGTTCCTATTATTTCCTATATTTGCTGTTGACATTTATTTAAGTGACCGGATCCTCACCTTGCATTTCAACAATGGCCTTATCTGTTGGAGGTGGTGAGACTGGGAGATACTGCATTGGATTTGTGTTCTTATGAATTAAAAATGAGCAAATATATAGAAGTGTACTTTACTCAATCTCTCCCTATGAAATTGTTTCTGACCTCACTTAAACTGCTCCTTTTGCCAGAACTGAAACTGCACATGCTAGAGGAGACTTAAACCAGTGGTGCATTAAATCAAGCATTAATAATATTTGTGCAAAGAATTATGGAAAGGGTTGGTAAAATGCATGTTCAGAGAGGCTTTGAACAGTTAGGACAAAGAACACTTCAGTGTTTTCTAAGCAAGAAACAACGCCCTTGGGTTCCCTAAGAAATGAATAGCACCAAGGTGTATGTTGGCAGTTTGCTTGCTCCAGAATATGAGAAAATGGTTGGTAGGCAAAATTTTAATTCAGATGCTTTTTTTATTCTCCAGTTACGAATTCCATGTGAAACCTAGAAACCCCCTTGGTGAAGGTCCGAGTAGCAATGTTGTGGCTTTCAGTACTGAATCAGGTACAGACTTCCAAAGGTTTGACTGTAATTTTATTATCCATGTTTGTGAACCAACTTTAATCCATTTGTTTGAGATACATGAAAGGTTCTCTTACTTCATTTTGTGAGTTTGATCTTGCTCTTTCTGATCTCCAGATTGGCTTTTTACTACTCAGCATTAGTAGTGGCTAGAAGGTGAGGGCATAAGATGGTCATACTGAAGAGAAAAAGGCAGGAACACAGAGATCTTCTGGTGTTTCCCGTGAAGAAACAAACTTTAAAGAATGTTCAGTGTTTTAAGATCAGTGTTCATGGTATTTTTATAGTTATCAAACTCATTAGTATGTTCTAAATGGGGACATAAAGTTTTCCTTTGGGCTACTGTGTTTGTACACAACTTGCTACCTGTTCAAAATGCTGTTGTGTCATAAATAGTGATATCTTAAGGCTGAAAAAATGATCGAGCAGTAATAGTTGGAACAGTTGGTGTCCCAGTATGTCTTCTCCCACCCTGTTTACTCTCTTGTGAAAACACTGAAGAGGTATACACAAGTCCGTTTTGAACACTGGCTCATTCTCAAGCTTAACTCCTGTCTGACTCAAAGGTGAGAATTAGAGATTGTCTTGTTTTCTGTATTTCAACTCCCAGTAAGGCTAACTCCAGTAGACATTAAATGATTCTGTACAAGCTAGGTGTCTTCTTTTGTGTAAAAGTAGTTTCTGTTTGATAGTATTTAAGGACCATATAAATAAAAAAATGGGTTCAACCTCTTCAAAAGGACTTTCTTAATCTGTATTTTGAGCCAGGTGTAATAACATAATAGTCCTGGTCTAATGCTCACTGATGGATGAGAGTTTCAGTTGAGCAAGGGATTAGGCAGGGAGGACCTCAGACTAAGCCACACGTATTTAAAACCATGAATACACTCCTTGTAGTCCTAGATTGTCAAAACTGAATTAATGTTTATGCCAGGTGCAGTTTTCACAAATGACAAGGCTTATGTTCTGTCTCCTATTTAGCTTGGCCAAATGAAGCATTACATTTTATTTTGTCTTAATTGCACACATCCATTTCTCACATTTTGGGAGATCGTAGCCAAGTCTTGAGTGGCAAGTGTAACAGAAGTGGGTTTTTTCTTTTATTTCAGTATACAAACTGAAATGAAAAAAAAAAAAAAAAAAAAAAAAAGTGCAGTAGAATTGAATTTTACAGGTTTAAATTCCTGTTTTCACTACAACCTGATTTGAACACAAAGTCCCAAAAGTGAGATTTTTAGAAGAACATTGGCTGTAGTTTCACACAGTGACGTTTCTTTTCTATTCAATATGAAAGTAAACTTTGCTTCCAAAACACTTTCTATTTCACCACATGCAGCCTGTGTCAACAGTAGAAAATCACTTGACAATGCTTTTCCATTGGTATAATGGGAATGCTAATTTTACAATGTCTGATTGAATGTTTGTCTTATATCCACAGCGGACCCAAGAGTGAGTGAGCCTATTTCAAGTAAGCCTTGTATAAATTATTCTGTCTTCTGATCAGGAATTTTTTCAGAAATAGTGTAATTTTAAGGGGGACGGTGGTGGTGGAGTTTCTGTACTGTACCAGTTAAATGAGCTATGGAATCAAATAGCTTTTGCACTTGAATTAATTCTTTCCATCCATATTCCTTGTCCAGAATACATGCCAGGCTGCTTGTTTACCTGAGCAGAATGCAATCAGTGTGATGTGATGCTCCCATGGCAGCTGGGATGGCTTCAAACCAATGTACACAGATGAGCCAAAGAAGGCCTCATATTTTCTCAGTTTTGTCATTAATTCAAAGGAAAGACTCTTCAAAATGAATAAGCTATTTCACACTTTTTAAGTGACTTAACAGAACACAGCTTGGAGGATATTATTTATCTGCCATTATGTTTTTTAAAAAATTCCTGCTTCTGAAGGGCTGCTCCACCTCCGCTTTACGCCACTTGTAAGACTTGCTGTCTTCAGCAGGAGGTGGACTGAGCTTTTGAAGAACAGAGACCCGTTCATGCAAATTGAGCTCTTTCTGCATTTGTAATGGACAACACTGACAAAATTGACAGCATTTATTTTTTTTGTCACGTGATTCATGACACTTTTATGTATTTTTTTAATCACGTGTTTTGCTGCAAGTTGACCTTCCTGTCTTGATTCCACATAGAAACAATGACTGCATCACATACATTGTAAATGAAATTTTGGCAACAGAAGGACAGAGTTCCCTTAATAAGTGAGAGCTCCCAACTGGCTTCTCTGACACAGAAAGCAGAAGCAGTTCACTGCATCAGTCATAGCTGAGCACTCAGTGCTTCCCTGACATAGCTTTTATGCTCAAAATGCAGGTGACAGGTGATACTAGTATATTTCAAAGTGCTTTCTGCTCCATCAAGATTTCTATTTATTAGAATATATTTGTCACATATGATTTTATATAAACTGCCATACTTTAGTATCTTTATTTCTCTCATGCAGTGGGAAAGGATGCTATCTGGACTGAAATCCCATTCAATTCTGACTCTTACTCAGAATGCAGAGGGAAACAGTATGTGAAAAGGACCTGGTATAAGAAGTTTGTAGGTGTGCAGCTGTGTAATTCGTTAAGATACAAGATATACCTCAGCGATTCACTTACAGGTAAGATAAATCAGTGTTGTTCACATTATAAACCCTTCAAAAATACGAAGAACTAAGAGGCTTAACAAGATGGGCACTGTTGAAGTGTGATTAAGTATGATTAATGTAGTCCCTAGACAGATTGATCATAAATAATAGTCTGCTTGTGCTCAGTAGTCATTGTTTGATACTGAGTTTTCAGACTCAAGTGTTACTTCTCCACCATCATTGTCTGATTTACAGCACCTGTTGGTATCCTGGGGGATCTTACAGAAAACTGATAACAGATGTCTGACAGTCATTAGCTTATGCTATAATGGCACTAAATCTGTGTTTAAATCATAACCTGTAACAGTTCTTAGTAGAGGATCAGGGCCTAATTTTAGATCAGGGTTAGAGTGCGTTCATTCCCATTCCATTTCATAAACTTCTTGTTCTTTTATTACTATGGGACTTATAAGTACATTACTTCAACTCTAGTGGACAAATTTCTCTCACCTGCTTTGACATTTTTGTTTTCACATTGCTCATTTTTGTTTTTGATCTCTTGTTGTCATCCTCCTTTTTCTTGTGTTATGCTTTATTACTAACAGCAGCTTCCTGTCCTTAGTTTCTCAGGTTCTATTCAGTGTCCCACAGTCATTAGCAAATGAGGTAGTTCAGACCTGAATCAAGTAACATGTCCAGTGTCTGAACTAGAGAAGGAGTCTGTAGTATTGGTTTTCATTTGATTGATAGTTAAGCAGAACTTTGTTTCTCATGGAGATTGCAAAAGGTGTATCTGGAGATATTTTAATTAATAATCCTTTCAAAGATCCTGGTTTCCTTCTGTATGAAGTCTTTTCTTAATGTCTCCATTATTATGGCTTTAGTATAGGATCCAGAGCACAAAGAATGTAAAAAACCCATACATGGCTAATGTCTTAGGATGTAAGTTAGGCAGACAGTATGTTTATCATGTTGAACTGAGTTAGCTAGGAGAGACTGATTGGATCATCCTCCATAACCTAACACTGCCCTATCTCTGAGCTCAGCAACTCACAACAGCATGGCTCAGTGGTCTCTGTGTGTGGTAACAGGGAATGAAAATGGGAACAGGGACCATAAGATAGCCTGTGCCAAAGTAACATTAAGCTGCCATCACTGTTTCCCCATGAGCAGACAAAGAAGGAAAGCCCAGTCGTTTATACTAAGTACAGTACCTCATGCGTAAGTAATACCTTGGCAATTATGTGAATAAAAAGATGATTTTGAACAGAGGTATCTTTCATTCAGCTGTTGCTGCACTAACCAGCTGTGATCAAATGACAGAAGCTGGCAATGAGGCGTAGTGTATCACACAACCAGCCAATAGAGGAAATGGCAGTGCTAATTTAGCAGGACTATGCTATAGCTCTAAATCAAGAGAATTAACACTGCAATGAAAGCTACTTCAATCTTAGAATAAAAGTGTAACATGTCAGAAGCCCATTTTCCTATTTTTGTTAGATTGGTTTTGTTCTTGCTGGAAGGATGGCAATTTAACTTGGCTGGGGAAAGACCATGACAGCCACATTGTATTCATTATACTTGCTAAGCTTGGTTCTTGCACTTGAATTCTTATGAACAGTGTTGATCACTTGTCACAATATTTGAAGGAACTGAAATGTTTATGTAGGAGGAAAGCTGTTCTGTGATTTTTTTCCCACCTATCTCCTAGGTGAGGCTGTCATGGCATGGCCTCCGTATTTCAGAGGGATAATTTCCAATCTGAAGCCAAACTCTGTTCTGCTTTTTACTGTCATACCCTGTCCTGTCATGTTCCCAAGCCCAGGAGAAGTGTATCTGCTAGAACTGCCAGCTCTGCAGTGTGCCAGGAGCAAAAGGTCTTTATTCAACGTTATGCTGAAAGTATCTCCCAGCTTTGCTGTTGAAGCAGCAAAATGATCTTGATATTTGGGTGCATTGTGGGCACACCATTGCATAAGGCCACCAAAAACTGAACCTCTGCACGCTTGTTTTTAGCATGAATTTGTACTTCTATTGTTGAAGAAATCACAATGTGTAGAATAAAAATGGTATTTTATTTTCTTAAGAGCATCACAAGGGAGCTCTGAGAAAAAATTATGCCAGAATTACTATCCCCAAAAGCGAAAGACAAATCTAGTAGTCTTTTGTTAGCAAAATGTTTAAAGAGTGTTCCTTTATCGAGGAATTGGACTGTATGAATTTAATTCATAGTCACCAAGAATGCTGTTGAGTGATGTATGGCAGTTGTTTGAATTGTGCATGAGTTATGATGTGGACTAGAAGACCGTGTGTATCTGAAAGTTACTGTTCTTTTGTTGGCCGTAAGGTATCTGCTTTATTCTGTCCCTAGTGAAGAAAAGCTGATCCATGTTACACATGCCAGGACTGTTCTATAAAGCACCATCTACTGCTGATCTCATTTAACAGTCCTCCAGAGCAGTCACAGTAAGCATTCCAGAAAATCAGGCCACCTAAAAAAAAGCATTTATTGGGCATGAGAAAAAGATAAATTCTATGTGTGATGTTCAACAGCCATGGAAAGAAAAGGCAAAACAAGAAAAACAACCATGCAGTTTTGGGCAGCCTGAATGTTCTCAACTTCAGATCAAAAACTTACCAAGAGGAACTCCCACTGACCAATTCTCACATGGGAAAAAATATGCTTGCAGCCAAAGCTAGACAGTAATAAATTATTTTCTAAACCTAGACCGTCAAGTGGAGGTGAGAATTTTTGGCAAAGTATTGATCAGACCACAGAAACACGAGAAAGAGTGAATTTATTGGTAGGCTGCTAGTTATTAATTGAACTTCAGGGAGTAGTATGAGCTACCTCACCACCTGTCACACAGCCAGGTGGGCACAGATTCAGGGCCACAGGAGACCCAACATCTAATGAACAACTGGACATTGTGCTTAGCTTATACCCAAGCACTGAGCCTTAGTTGTCACCTTTGCTTTAATAGTCACAGCCTGAAGCTGGATGCGTCACAAAATGCTGTGAAAGATCAGACAAAATGCTGATCTTATCTGAAGATGTTTCCTGTCTAGGCCTTGGAAGTGAAGACGACACGTTTTCCTCCATCTTTTGAACAGAATTTTGCAAATCTTCTTGCAAATCATATCAATAAGTAAAAAACCACTGTCAAAATTCCTTCACTGGGAGTCCTCAACAGGTTAAGGACAGCCTGTAATGTCAGCACACACTGTTTGGTACTTACGATCTTCTTTTCTGCTCAGTTACAGTCAAGGGGCCTGTTAAACAGCCCTGCAAGGAACTATATGGGTCCATTTCACGTTCTGAATAAGTATTTACTACACCAGGATCATATATGAGTTAAGGGATATCACTTGCACGTACAAACTGTAAAGTTTTAGAACAGGGTTTGCATGTGTCATGAGGTGGGCTATAAAGACTTCTTCAAATATTCTCAGGACTTCCTAACAGGGAACCTTCTATTAACATTGCTAACAAAACTTATCTCATTTTTTTGTACAATCAGAATGAGGTTCTAGGTAGTAACAGAATTTTGCTTACTGTATGAAAGTTAAGGAGGGGAAAAGTATGTCCAGCATGGATTTTGGCAGAGTGGGGTGCTGCTGTCAACAGCCATGAGTGCTGCGCTTGCACTACGCACTTAATGTTCTAATTACAGCAGCAGATCCTGAGAGGTAAAGAATGGTTGCATTCGCTTTGGCTTCCCTACAGAGCTAAGAGTATCAATCTCTGGTGGGTGGCTTCAGCCTTCACTAAACGGGACATGGATTTTCAACTTTGCTGCTTATTTCCTTTCAGGAAAATTCTATAACATAGGAGACCAGAGGGGCCATGGAGAAGATCACTGCCAATTTGTAGACTCGTTCTTAGATGGAAGGACAGGACAGCAAGATGATCTACCAGTCAAAGACGGTAATTCCTTAAGAATGTCACTGCAACAGTCCTTGGCAGTTCCTTTGTTTGTCTGTTTCTTTTTCTTGCCAGTAAATTGAGGGCCCACTGCCATGGTGGGCAATGAACAAGGGCTGTCGGCTCTGCAGGCAGAAGAGATGAGAAATTGCTGAAGATAAAAATTGTGATTAAAAATTGTGGTTAAAAAACTTTATATGAGCCAGCAGCGTGCTCTTGCAGCCTAGAAGGCCAACTGTATCCTGGGTTGCATGGTGAGGGAGAGGATTGTCCCTCTCTCCTCTGTCCTCATGAGGCCCCAGCTGGAGTACTGCATCCAGGTCTGGGGCACCAGGCACAAGAAAGATGTGGAGCTGTTAGACTTGTGTACTGAAGAGGACCACGAAAACGATCAGAGGGCTGGAGCACCTCTCCTGCAAAGACAGGCTGAGGGAGCAGGGCTTGTTCAGTCTGGGGAAGAGAATGCTTTGGGAAGGCCTCACTGTGACCTTCCAGTACTTAAAAGGAGCTTATCAGCAGGAGGGAAATCAACTTTTTACCTGGGAAGGACAAGGGGGAATGGTTTTAAACTATACGAGTAGAGATATGGATTAGATGTCATGGGGAAATTTTTCGTTGAGAGTGTGGTGAGGCCGTGGCACAGGCTGCCCTGAGAAGCTGTGGGCGCTCTATCCCTGGAGGCATTCAAGGCCAGGCTGGATGGGGCAGCCTGAGCTGGTGAGTGGCAGCCCTGCCTACAGCAGGGAGGTTGGAACTGTGTGGACTTTAAGGTCACTTCCAACCCAAGTTGTTCTGTGATTCTATCATTCTAAGATGAACCATGACTTACTTAATAAAGACCATTATGGCTCAGGTTCTGTGAGGTAGTAAACAGCCTCCCTCCTGTTTAAAACATTCCAACAGGTTATTCACACTTGGTATTGCATATTTAAACCCAACTGCAATTTTCAGTTTGCATAGCGGCATGAAGTGTTGTGCTGAAACTAGCAAGGTTAATGTTAAATGTCATAAATCATCACTTGAGCATCAAACAGCTCTGTTTAGTGCTAATGAGAAACTAAAGAGTTATTACTGGAAAATATAATTCATGCTGCAGTAATTCTGAATACACTAATTCAAGGTGGGTGCCCAAAATGCTGCTCTGGTCTAAGGGGACGGGGTGTGGATGTCCTACAGGCAGCCCTGCCTATTTTTTAACGTTCCCCAGGCTCAAGTGTAAGCAAGTTCTGTCAGCTGAGCCTCCGCCTTGCTTGTTTGCAGCATTACCACTGCAATGCGTTCCACCCTCTTGTAAGAACATCGTCTGTATTGATACAGGTGTGCACGCCGAATAAGTAATGGAGTATTTTGATGAGAAAAAAAGTCAGAATAGCTTTCAAGATGGTATTGACCAGACCTTCATGTATTTAGTGCTTTGTTTGTAAAACGTCTCGCCAAAGTGCATGAATGCATTGTGGTAGGTGTAGGTTAGGGTGAGGGTTAGGCTTTACTTCTCCCCCAGTCAGTGTTCCACACTTGTAAAGGAGTTTTGCTTGAATAAGGAATTGTCTGAGTTCAGTTCAGCATTGCCAGGACAGCTGCCCTCTCAATAGTATCAGATTCACTTATTAAAGAAGATTTTATAAATGTGAAATAAGCTTATGAGGTAGGTAAAGCCAATCTGTTTCCAGCTACTGGATTTAGCTGGCTGGATTCATAAACTGCATTCATTTTTAGCTTGAAAACCTAAACAAATACAAATACAATCCACCAACAAAAAAGAAAGTGAAAGACCAACCTGCAACTTGTGTTTCTAGTACATGACAGGAGCAGAGGGAAGAGCAGGCGTACGTTGCTGCTGTTACTCCCTGGTTGTGGCAAGACAATTCAAACCAGAGTTAATGGTGTGTATGTTTCACCTGAAATGCAGGAAAGGAATGATGGCTGTGGCGTATTGTTAGCCATTAATGGGATCATATGCAAGCTCCATGGGAGCGCAGAAGAAGGTACTTTCTAATGGCTTCCTGCAAACAAACTCCATTCTCTGTTCTAGGATTTTTCAGGGCAGTTCGTCAGGAACCTGTCAAGTTTGGAAAAATAGGTGGGGAGACTCACATCAACTACGTGCGCTGGTATGAGTGCGGAACATCAATTCCTGGGAAATGGTAGATGTGATGGGGACCTGGTGAAGAGACCCAGCACCAAGCACCCTTGCGAATGCCCCAAGCAAGCTCAAAGATGGGAATGTATGGTATGCCTGTCACTTACACAAGTTTGCTGGCGTGTAAGATTTATGCAAGTCTAATGCCAATACTGCATTAATTGTGTAATAGCGTAGGCTGCTTACTGTAGTTATCCAGTTTTACAGATTTGTCTTTAGATTGAAAAAAAAAAACAAAACCACAGGGTAGGGACACGGTGTAGGATAATGCATAGGGAAGCTGGCTCCCTATTCTTGAGGTATGGTTTCTAAGGTATTTTAAGAGATACGGTGTGTATATTATTTATCACAATGTTGTAATAAATGTTTAAGGCACAGTTATGGTAAAAGTTGGTCATGGAATGCAGTATGTGTTAGTTTTTAAATATTCACTGGTCTTGTAATGTAAGTGCCATAAGCTATCTGCCCAGGTAAATCTGCCATGTTTCCCCCATCATAAATTATAAAAAAGTCCCCACAGGTTTTAATAACCAGGAAACTTGAAGTGCTTTCTCCTTACACGTACAAACAGCCCATACTCCTGCCCAAATACTGAGTGTAATTGTGTGTGGATCTTTGATTGATAGAGTTTGTGTTTTTTTCCATATTTGTTTCCAAATGCAAGTTTCACCTCCAGCAAAACCTTCAGTAAGGTCGGCCCGTGGCTGTGGAGTTAGAAGTGCTGCAGTGGTTAGTGAGGCAGTGGTTTGTGTTCCTCTAATGAAAGCAGGCAGGTACACGTGTATGTGGAGAAACATGAAACTGGTCTCCGTTGCTGTGGCGTACCGTAGAAGTGCTGTTTTCAGAGACTGAGTGGTTCAAAAATGAGATGTATGTACATTGCAGGAAGGTCTGGGACAATAAGTGAAATGAGAAAAATAAGCGGTCATAATGGCGTCATCGGTCAGATTTGGTTTATTAAGAAGGAATGCTTTAAAACATTGCTCATTGGGGAAAAAGGGGAAATAGTGATAACTGAACTTTTAAAACTGCTTTACGGCAATTAAAACCTCTCTCAAAGCTACTTGTTGTACTGCTTGAACATTTATGTACTAAATAAAGAGATGTAGGTTTTTTTTTTTAAAAGGTGTTATTCATTACATTACTAATGTATTGAAAAATATGAGCAGGACACCCAGATATATATATAGTAGAAATAGTCATTTATAGAAAATGCCTTATAAAGTACATTGCAGGTACACTGTACTCCTAATAAAATATTTTTTAATCAAGCGTTTCTGCTATTGTTTTACATGCAAGCAAGTGCTAGTTTCCATGCCAATGGCTGTGGCAGAAGGGGGTCCTGTGGAAGAGGCCCCTGTTGAATAGTTGGGTGACCACCTGATGTGTTAGGGTTGAGGAGCAAGTAGCAGCAATGACATTCCACAGCTTCCTGATGTATGCGTGCCTGATTAGGAGAGCAGTGACACACAGGGATGTGGAAGGTAGGAATTTTTTCAGCTCCTGCTTTATTTCCTGATTTGTCTTGATGAGAGTTCAAGCAACGTGCTGCTCCATTTCATGACTTTATTCCCTCCTCTCAGTTTTATGTATTCCTAGAATCCATAAGATGGAAAATATTAACTAAGAGAGTGTTTTGCCCTTTGCTGTTTATATGGTTTACTGAATTCTTTTACAGATTTCAATCTGCTTTTCCTTGGCTCAGCACTGAGTCACTGGGATCACACTCTCAGATTTTTCAGGGTAGCGAAGGACCTGTGTTAGGTTGTTCCCCTTTAACAGTTCTTTATAAAAATACGGGTTTGGCTTCATCTTTTAACTAATGAACCAGTTTTCCCCCTACCCTGGTTAAAGTATTTAAGGGGTTAATTCTAAGATTCTATTTATTAGCTGTAGATACATTTGGAAAAAGTTACCTGACAATTAACAACAGCAGACAGTGCAAAACCATCTGCTGCTGCATGGTGGCTGCAAGAGCTTTATAATGGGTTTGCAAGGTAAGATAACAAGGAGTGGAACAGCATAGCTGAGTTAGAGGGACAGAGTTAGGTGGTAGTGGGGGCCCTAACCCTGCTGCACACTTGAAACCTTACGATGATGAAGGCAACAGGAAGACTAATGGTAAATACTTCAAAAGAATTAAGGATTTATCCTCCAGGAAGATGACAAGACCAGCTGCCCAGCTGAAGTATCTCTACACCAACACACACAGCTTGGGAAATAAACAGCAGGAGTTGGAAGCCACCGTGCTACTGGAAAACCATGACATAGTTGCTGTCACCAAAACCCATTGGGATGATTCCCATGACTGATGGCTGCAAGCTGCTCAGAAGAGACTGGTGAGGAAGGAGGGGAGAAAGTGCTGCCCTCTACATCAAGGGAGGAATAGAGTGTGAAGAGCTGTCCCTTAAGAACAACCACGAGCAAATGGAAAGCCTGTGGGTGACAGAGACAGAAGCAACAAAGGGAGACTTGTGGTTTGGGGGTCCACTACAGGATGCCTGATCAAGTGGAGCCTGTTGGTGAAGCCTTCCTCCTCCAGCTTCAGCAGGC